TCCGAAATGAGGTCTGGAGAACCTATCCCGATCGAGCCGGACGGTGGTTGTGGCCTATGTGGGTTCATCTTGCTTGGGGAGAGGCTGAGCCACTTCACTTTAAGGCTTCTACTGTAGGAGCTCTTCACAAAAAGGGCCCAGCCCACATTCCTGCCAACTTCCGTTCCATTGCTATGCTGAATGGAGTGGCTAAGCTGTGGCACTCCCAGCTCCGGGCCACCCTAGGTCAGGAAGTTATCGCTCATTACTTCCCGACCCAGCTCGGGGGTAGGCGAGGCGTCGACACCGGCCTTGCCCTCACTGTCTTCCGCTCTGCTGTTGATCTGGCTTCCGTTCACGGCCGTTCCTGGGCAGCCTTGTTTGTAGATATCCAGGCCGCTTACTATGAAGCGGACAGAACCCTGCTTTTCCATGGCCGCGACCTTGAACAAGCTCTCGCGGGCCTGCATTTGCCTCGTCATGTACACGGCCTCATTCAGGATGGCGTCCTCGCTGGTCTCGGGGTGCCCGCTGACCAGATTGCCCTCCTGCGTGATTGCGTAGAATGCTCGTATTGGCGCCTCGTAGGCCAGCCCCAAGCCATTATGGCAGGTCGAGGCTCCCGGCCCGGGGACGGACTTGCTGATGTCCTGTTCGGAGCCTTGTTTGCTGTGATTTTACAGTGCCTTCAATGTGCGCTCCAGGCCGAAGATATATTGTTCATGCTGCTTCCTCTGATGCTCTTGGACGACCTGATGCATCCCTCCAAATTGCATGGGCTGATGATCTGTGCCTGCTTGTTGATTTCATACGAGCCACTTGGGCTGTCTCGAAGTTGCGACGCCTCTGCACTATCGTCCTTCAAGTCTTCGAGGCCTTTCGGTTCCGCGTCAACCTTGGGGCAGGGAAGACAGAGGCGCTCGTCCACCTACAAGGAGCGGGGGCTAACGCGGCGCGTAAGGATCTCTTAACCCCTGAGCCCCTTCTTGCTCTTAGCGATGGGAGAGGCATTAGGGTTGTTCCTGAATATAAAAGTACCTAGGGGTCGTGCAGCGCTGCCGTGACACTGGCCGGCGGGATGTCGAGGCGGCCGCCGCGCGTGGCAATTCTATCTGGACTCAAGCCTCTGGACTTGTGCATTCTGAAAAGTTGCCATGGATGCTCAAGTCCGTCTGGCTGCAGGGAAGGACTCTCCCAGCGGCGTACTCCTCCCTCGCCACTACCTTAGCTCGCTCTGAACGAGCTTGGGGACCCCTGCATGGATTCTTCGACAAATGCCTTCGTCAGATTGTCGGGTCCTGGGATGCTGGGCACCATGTTGCCTCAGTCCAGCTTCGGGCTTGTACCGGGGTTCTTGATGTTGAATGCGCTACGGTTATTGCCCGTGTGCGCCTTCTCTGCCGCATTGCCTCGGGCCGTTCCCCTGAGGTATTTGAATTGTTCCAGGCCAGCTGGGATCGCGGAGGGGAGTGGTCCTCTCTCCTCGCTGACGCGGTGCGGCGGGTTTGGCCGGCTTGTGGCTTATCCGCACTCCAGCCTGGCGAGCCTACCCTTCTTTGTGTGCGACGACGAGCCAAAGAGCTCCTCTCGGCTTGTCGCCGGATCAGTCGGTCCGGGACTATGCTGCTTGCTCTCCATCGGGCCTGGAGGAGTCTTGGCGGTCTGCCACCCAAGCGTGTGATTGGCCTCGCGTCCCCTCACATCTGCTCGGAGTGTGGTGTGACTCTACCTTCTGCGCATGCGCTGGCGGCTCATGCCCACCGCCTCCATGGGCGGGTTGCTCTTTGCACCCAGTACACATTGGGGACGATCTGTCTGTGGTGTTTGGTTGAATTCCACAACGCTGCGCGTCTCCGGTATCATCTTTTGCATTCACCTGACTGCGAGCACGGGTTGCGGTGCTGTGTGGGCCCTGTCTACGAGTATGGTACAGGCACCAAGCGTCGCGGCAAACAAGGCCATGCCAGAGCCCCTGTGTTCCGTGTCGCAGGCCCTTGTAATGCTACTGCGGCACAGCGCCGTGCCGCCGAGGAGGGGCGTTGTTGCACGGAAGAGGAGCTTTCTGCTGAGTTACGCACTATCGCTCCTGGTCCGGGCTTCTCCGAGGGCACCCGCTCCTCCCCTGTTGTGCCCTTTCGCCGTGTTGGTGGTAATTCTACTCTTGCTCCCGGCGCCGAGGCTGGTACGGTTCCGCGTCCTGTGGTCTTGCACTCGCCACATGATCCTGTTGATCTGTCGACAGGGGCTTTAGATTCGGGCTCCCCCACCTCCTCGGTTCGACCTCCTGCCACGGACAACGCGGTTGCTTCGACTATGTCCCAGGCACATCCAACGGATAGGCTCTGCACTGTCTACTGCTTCGATGAGGCTCCTGGTGACTCGTCGCTCTGCGTCCCCTCTTGTCGGTGGTGCGGGGTGCCTCCTGCCATCTGGTGTCTCCCACAGTCTTGGGCGCGTTGCTGGAAGCTCTTTCTCGCTCTTGATTCGCAACATTCGTGGTCAGCTGAGACTTGGAGACTCACTGCCTTTCTGCGCCGGGAGGAACGTCCGTCCCCTGGCGCCACCCTTGGATGCCTGACGTGCTTTGATCAGATTGCGGCACAGCGGGTCCTTTTCCTGCGGAGGATGCTCACGTGTCTCCACTTGCTTCGTCAGATCAAGTCCGGAGCTGCCCTTTGGTGCGCTGTTCCCTTGCCGAGTGCCTTCTGGGAACTTCTGCGTCGTGTCGTGCCTCTCGCCGTCGGTACATCGGCTATCGCAGTGCTTGGTTTTGGCACTGTCGTTAGCCTACCTGCGGTCGCCCCGCAGGCTCTTGCCTCTCTTGCCTCGGGTTGGCTTGCCTTTGCCAATCCCCGTCGCTTGGCGATGCCGCACCAGCTTCCTCTGTAGTTTTGCGGTCCGAGTACTTGCGCCTGAGGCGTAGTTCTCGCCCCGCCGTCCTTTCGTTTTGCATGTAGGGCTGTAAGTTCCCGCTTTTCCAGGACCGCGGCCTCGCCGCTTTTCGGTCCGCCTTTCTTTGCACAGGACTAGTACCTTCTACGCAACGAAGAAGAAGAAGGTTTAGGGTTCAGGGTTTAGGGTTTAAGGTTTAGGGGTTTGGGGTTTAGGGTTTGAGGTTTAGGGGTTTGGGGTGTAGGGTTTGAGGTTTAGGGGTTTGGGGTGTAGGGTTTAAGGTTTAGGGTTTGGGGTTTAGGGTTTAAGGTTTAGGGTTTGGGGTGGAGGGTTTAAGGTTTAGGGGTTTGGGGTGGAGGGTTTAAGGTTTAGGGTTTGGGGTGGATGGTTTAAGGTTTAGGGTTCGGGGTGTAGGGTTTAAGGTTAAGGGTTCAGGGTTTAGGGTTTGAGGTTTAGGGTTTGGGGTGTAGGGTTTAAGGTTTAGGGTTTGGGGTGGATGGTTTAAGGTTTAGGGTTTGGGGTGGAGGGTTGAGGGTTTAAGGTTTTAGGATGATTTCAAGCAAGGTTCGAGGGTAGAGTATGTTATAGTTACTTTACCTTATTTCCTGAAGCCTAAGGAACACCAATGAATGGTATTGGCAATGTGTGCAGCCCACTACAAACCGAGCCGCGCCCATCAAATTACGGTCCAGGCCTCATAGGGTTTAGGCCCAGACACCTGGAACGTAAGAAAGTCATGCAAGAACTTCAGTGCTCACCGATATGCTCAATCCGCCGGTGTTTGGCTCTCCTTGCATCTCGGTAAGCCTCTAACAATCACAGCAAGCAGAAGGAATAGAATGAAACACAATGCAATAGCAATGACAATATGATCCAGAGCATGGACTGTGTTATGGAAAGGGCTTTAAACCACGGCCCACGGCGGACTGTAATATAGGCGGCCTTAATATAACCACTTATACTATTTTGGGGGTTCCTTAATATAACTACAGCATAGTGGTCCCCAAACCCGGTTCTAATTAGATTAAGGACCTTATATTAGCACTCAGAGCAGAGCTTCAGTCAACTTACGATTTCCTTGATGGTTGAGAACGGTAGGGCAACTCGTCATGATGCCCTTTGCCAAGCTGACGACGGCGGCTTTGATGAATGCAATGATGATGTTAGTGATGGATGATACCCCACCCACACCAAACCGAAACGTCGGTTCAGGGTTTAGGGTTTAAAGACATCTAGTGTTTAGGGCTTAAAGCCTGAATTCAATTTCCTGCATTCCCCATTGGAGCAGATTAGGTGTAGATGGATGTAGGTCGGGATAGCCCGCGTAGTGTGGGAGCCTGAATACATACGAATACTATTCCTGAAGGTTCCTTGTTCCAGTCATGGTAGCATGCTACAACATCCCCCCACATCCTGTTCTAATTTATACTGTAAGGTCGCTGTATCAGACCCTAAAGCCCTAAACCCTAAGGCCCTAAACGCCAAACCTGAGAGTTTAGGGTTTAGGGCTCAACCCGTCGCAACAAACCTTAAACGCCTATCCCCACACCCGACAGTTTATGCCGTCCCTTACATATATGCACATGTATGTATATATGTACAGATTTCTATGTTTGTTTGTTTACATGAATATATATATATATATATATAGACATACACCCTAATCCCAAAGCCCATTTTGGCCGGGGTAACCATATTATTCCTCAGGGTTCCTAACCCAAAATCTATTCTGATTATGAAGGCACCTACACCGTAGAAGCCTGGTAGCAGCCCTTTTCGAAGTCCGTACACTACCCGAAGGGTCCAAAGAGCCTAATCATTGGATACTTGGGTTTAGGACAGTAGTTTTGTAGGTTTCGATTTGGGAAAGTATGTGATTATGTGGTACTTGGATCCCTCGGGCTAGGGTGCCCAGAGACTCCAATATTCCTTAATTAAGGAATACACTTTAAGCTGTAGTAGGATTCCTATATGATTTACGGAGGATTCCTTATTTAAGGGATATTGGAATCTCCTCAGCCCTGAACCCTATAATTATAAACCCTTACAGATCCCTTTCAGGAGCCCTTCATAGACCCCTTCTACACCCCTAAAAGAGGACCCTGGCCTATGGGTGATCCTTAGTCCAGGAGGTGGAGAAGCTGAGACCCAAGCTGGACGAGACGCAGGAGACGCAGCAGGGTTTACCTGTAGCCCAAACACCTTTGAAGGGTTTCCTCAATAAGAAAGGAACCTTGATTATAAGGAACCCTCAAAGGGCAGGTTTTTGGGCTACAGGTTCGGGGTTCGCTGGGTTTGGGTTTTTTTTGGTTTAGCGCTTATGGTTTAGGGTGTGGGTTTAGAAAGCGGGATTAAAGTTTACGGCTATGAGGTTTAGGTTTCAGGGGTTTCGGGCCTAGGGTTTATGAGTTTAGGGCTGTAGGGCTTCGGGTATAGTGTCTGGAAATTGGAGTTTGGGGTTTTTGGGTTTAGCAGTTGGGGTGTTGGGTTTGGAATTGGAATTAGAATTAAAGTAAAAGCCAAAAAGTTGGAATATGATTATCTTAAACCCTTTATGGTAAATTATAAGGTATCCTACCCTGAAACCATATTCCAACTTTCTGGAGTTCCCTTTAGGGGTTTGCAGGTTTAGGGGTTTGGGATGGTCTAGGGCTTGGGGTTGGTGGTTTGGGGTTTTTGGCAAGTTTATGGGTTAATGTAGATCCTTTAAAGGGAACTCCAGAAATTTGGAATATGGTTTCATGGTAGGATACCCTATAATTTACCATAGAAGGGTTAGGTTAATCATAATCCAACTTTCTGGCTTTTACCTTAGGGTTTGGGGTTATGGTTGTAGCGGTTAGAGGTTTGGGCTAGGGCACAGCTGAAGGCTTCTGCGAGTTGCAAGGCCTAAGCCCTAAACCCTAAGCCTTAAACCCTAAACCCTAAGCCCGAAACCCCAAACCCTAAACCCCTAAAGCCATCAAAACCGAAAGCCCTAACCGAACACCCTACACCGTTCTATGCGGTTTCTACAGAAGGTTCTCTTTGGGGCTTTCGGGGTCTGAGTTGCAGGATTGAGGATTGGAGGTCTGAATCACTAGGTAGTTTCAGGACCCCCTTCTAGTTCCTATATGAACGCTCATGGTATCGTTTTCCCTGAAGCCTGAAGCCCTAGTCCAATCCTAAACCCTAAACCCTAAAGCCTTCTTTTAGGTTTAGGGTTTTGGCTTTAGAGCTCTGGATTTTTCATAGCTTAGCTGACACCGGACGAAGCCGAAAGAGAAATGGAATCTGTTTGGAGCTTTCCCCATAAACCTTTTGAGCTTTTGGGTGGTTCTTACTACAGGGCCTAAAAAGTTTTACCAAGTGCCGTGGTTAATCCGAAACAGAGGACGCACACAAACAAACGTACGGTCATATGGCTCCAAGCCCATGTGGCCAGGTATGAACATAAACGTGCCACTGGAGTCACTGGAGAGCTATTAACAGACATGGACACAACCCCCGTCTGGGTGTATTTCCTTGAAACCTAAACCCAAACCCCTAAACCCTAAACCCTACACCCTAAACCCTACACCCTAAACCCCTAAACCCTACACCCTAAACCCTACACCCTAAACCCTAAACCCAACCCTATCCCCCTAAACTCGGTCTTCTCCAGGAATCTTTGGACAAGACCATAGGTGGCATGCGCCGGGGCCCTGGAGTTGGTGTCTGTGTTTCGGCCGTGGTGGCCCAGAGTTTAGCCGTAACACCAAAGAGCCACAGGGTTTAGGGCTTGGGGTTATTATCTATGTAGGGAACTCACTGTCCCGAATATTTTTACACAAATTCCGAAGACAGACACAGCGGGAGCATCAATACCTCTGGCCACATCAGCCCTAGCACTTCTAGCAAGCAGCACCAGCACCGCCAGCAGCCCCAGCGCTACCTGCTCCCTGTGACCATTCATTATTCATCAGTACTCAGTACGTTCAGCTCTCAGATGATGCCCCAATGACCATTAAGCGTCTAGCGTTTGCTTTATGGGTTTGGGCTTTAGGGTTTGTTTCAGGGCGAAGCCTTAAAGCCTCCTGAAGCCCTACTTGGAGGGTCGGGGGACTTAGTAACTGGTTATTTTAGGGACTTATAAGTACCATAACCCCAATTAGGGTCCCTTTTAGGGTACTTATATGTCTGCTTACTGCCTACTTACTAAGTCTAACCCTAAACCCGATACTACCCTTATAGAGCCCTTTAAAGGAACCCTTAGAATCCCCTTTAAAGGAGCCCTTATTAAGTCCCCCCGACCCTCCAAGTAATGAGTCCAGAACCTCAGAAGACCGGACGTTCCACCTGCAGAACAACCACCGTGGAACCCAAAGACTCCAAGATCCCTTCATTTCGGAAATTTCTTTAAATCATACTAGGGAGCCTACTATAATTTTAAGGTATATTCCTTAGATCATATTCGGGAGCATACTATAATTTCAAGCAGATTCCTTAACTGAGGGAACGTACTGTAATTTAAGGTATATTCCTTAATTAAGGGGTTATACTGTAATTTAAGGCATATTCCTTAATTAAGGGAACATGCTATAATTTAAGGCATATTCCTTAATTAAGGGAACATGCTATAATTTAAGGCATATTCCTTAATTAAGGGAACATGCTATAATTTAAGGCATATTCCTTAATTAAGGGAACATGCTATAATTTAAGGCATATTCCTTGATTAAGGGAACATGCTATAATTTAAGGCATATTCCTTAATTAAGGGAGCATGCTATATTTTAAGGCATATTCCTTAATTAAGGGAACATGCTATAATTTAAGGCATATTCCTTAATGAAGGGGTTATACTGTAATTTAAGGCATATTCCTTAATTAACGGAACATGCTATAATTTAGTTAATTAAGGGAACATGCTACAATTCAAGGCATATTCCTTAATTAAGGGAACATGCTACAATTCAAGGCATATTCCTTAATTAAGGGAACATGCTATAATCTAAGGTATATTCCTTAATTAAGGGAACATGCTATAATTTAAGGTATATTCCTTAACTAAGGGGATGTTGGAGTGTCTGGGAAGTTGCCCAGGCGAGCGATCAGAGAAGGTGCAGGTGGATGGCATCGTCAAGGATTCCAAAACCCTAACCTTACCTTAACCCCACGTAACCTACCTTTTTAAGGAATTATACAAAGAAATCATATTAAGGAGCCCAAAAAAATGAAAAATATATTCCTTATGGGGGTAATATAGGGATTATTATTTTTATTTTTTGGGGGGTTTCTTAAGCAAATAGTAGCTAACCTTAAACCCTAAACCCGGGGGTTAAGGGTTGGGGGTTTAGGGTTTAGGGATGGAACTCTGGGGTTGAGGGTTTAGGGTTTTGGGACGGCCTTAAACCCTAAACCCTGGGGTTTAGGGTTGGGGGTTTAGGGTTTAGGGGCGGCCTTAATTCCTAAACCTTAAACCCGAAGCCCAAGAAGCCTAAACCCCCCTTCTGCTTAGCGTCTTCTGGTGTTCGGATTCTCCTTTCCTGTAATCGAGGGCGGCTTCGATCCGAGTATCTTGCCTGTGGCACAATGTAGCGGCCTTAATTGTTAGAATAAGGTAAACCCTAGACCCTAAACCTTTTTTTGGGGTTCCTTCTTATAGTTATAGTATAATATCCCTGAGGACCCTGGTCCGAAAATGAAGGCCCATACATTAGGGATTCAGGATATTGTAGAATATCACAGGTTTCTCCGAGTGTATCACAGAGTTGATTTGCAACAGTAGATTGGAGACTAAATTTCCGTTTATCAGAGTGTGCTATTATAAATATAGTATCATGTTATACTGCATCAAATAACATTCCTACCCCCAATGGTCTGTACCCGAATCATTCCAAACCAGGACTCGGAAGCAAAGCTGACGAGAGCTAGGCCTTACAACTATCGAACCCTTCGTAAGGCCGTTTACCGAACCCGTCTACAGGATCCGCATGGAACCCGCAAAGAACCCCACACCCCCTCCAAACCAGTCCTAAACCTTAAACCCCCAATCACATATCTGAAACGCGATGCCCTATCCAATCTATCTATCTATCTACCTATGCTTATGTGTACATCTATCTATCTATCCATCCATCTACTTGTCTATCTATCTATCTATCTATCTGTATGCATATATATATATATATACTATATATATATATATGTTTATGTATTTTCATACATGTATGTACAGATGCATTTGATTGTTTACTATTGCAACTGCCAGTATATATATAGTCTTAAAGCCAGGACTCGGAGGCAAAGCTGAAGGAGGTGGAAGAGGCGATCAAAAAGCTTCAGGAGGCGTCTGAGAGCTCTCGTTTCAAAGTTGGGGTCTTAAGGTTTGGGGCTTAGGGCTGTGGGCGTAGGGGATAGGATTCAGGGTTTAGGGTTAAGGCTTAGGGTTTGGGTCCTGGGGTTTGGTGCTTTGGGCGCCGGGCATAGGACTTTGGGTTTGGGGCTTGGGGCTTAGGGTTCAGGGATGTAGGGAGGGTTGAGGGTATGGGGTTTAAGGGGAGCCTGAAAAAGCAATACAATGCTGTGCCGTAGGGGTCTTACCGTTATTGCAATGTATTGTAAGTTAGTAAGGCACCATACTTCGCCCTTGCAGTAACCCCTGGAGGAACGCCTCAAGGAGCCCTCTTCCAACTAGTAAGTTCAGGCTCCTACATTACCGGGCGGGACTAACAAAAACTCGCCCCAACCTAAGCACTGAGCATTGGGGCCGGAAGAGCTGGGTTTACAGTTTAGGGCCTTGCGAAATTGCAACGTTTTGTTGCGGGGGCTTCGGGGGGGTGGAGGGGATATTATGGCAGTGGGGATGAGAGGATATTACTGCTACTTGCTCAGTCTTCTAGATTGCAGCCATAGCCCGTAACCCGAAACCGTTTCATCCAAATCCTGAGCCCGAAACGCGCAACCTCTAAGGCCATCGAGTTCTAGATGCCAAGCGCCTGAAAATGAAAGGATCTGCGGTTTTCCCTTTCACACGTCGAGGGGTGGCCCAACCCCTGAACCCTATAAGCCCCGCACCTTAAAACCCTAAAGCCCTAAACCTTAAATCTTTGAACCCTGAAACCCTAAACCCCAGACCCCAAACCCTAAACCTTCAGCCTCAAACAGACCCTGTACATATACTGTTTTCTCTGCAACTCCCATCTGCATGTCTCTAGATTTGGGGGTTTTGATGCAAGAGTCGCGATTGTATGCAGACGTAGGGTTTCGGGGTGTGGATTGCTTGTTTCAAAGGGGAAAAAGAGGGACCCCTCATGGGGACCCCTACCCCAGAAAGGGCGAAAAGATGGGTATATAATGGCTAGATTAAGGGTATATACCTAGGGGTCCCTATTCAGGGTCCCTCCTTTTACCCCCGGATTGTTGTTTCTTTGGATGGGGCTCGATGAGAGAGTGAACATGGTCTCTGATAACTTTCTGACGGGAGTATTTGTTGCAAGAAGAACCCCGGATCAGCGATCCTACTCTGCTTTAGAATAGCCCAAACCCTAAATCCTAAATCCCTGAATCCTAACCTCCAAAGTCTCAACCCTGCAGAACCGCTTCTACCATTCCCGCACAGGCGGAAAAGCCATTCAAGACCGAAGAAGAGATGGCCGCGGAGAAGGTGCGCCCTAGACCCCCAATGCAAAAAGCCTTAACGCTCTGGCACAAGCTGCGTGTTTTTCTGGTAGACGTATTCAAAATGCAGTTTTAGCATCTCTTTAGGGTTTCGGGGTTTGGGGTTTGGGTTTAGCGTTTAAGGTTTAGGGGTTTAGGGGTTTGGGGTTCTGGGGGCTTGACTTTGGGGATTAGGGTTTAGGGGTTTGGGGTTCTGGGAGCTTGATTTAGGGGTTTAGGGGTTTTGGGGGTTCTGGGATTTAGAGTCTAGAGATTGGGTTTAGGGCTTTCGAGTTCAGGGGTTTGAGGTTTAGGGTTTGGAGTGCAACTAATTTGAACAGGGTTTTGGAGTACAGTAGAAGCCAGAAAGTTGGAACATCAGTAGCCTCATGCCCTTAAAGCAAAGTATAGGGAATCCCCGCATGAATCATCCTAAATCCATGTTCCAACTTTCTGGGGTTCACTGTAGATTATATGATACAGTCATAATAAGGAGCCCTATAAGGAAGAATACTGGGAGCTTATGGGTTCGTCACATTAGGTAGTATTATTAGGGAGACCCCTTAAAGGGTACCCCTTCTGAACCCAACTTCTGGCTCTCTTAAAAGGGGCCTTATTCAAAGGGTCTATATCCCCAAGGGTCCCCCTAATCCTAACTCCCACACATACAGTTTGAGGTTTAGAGCTTACGGTTTGATCTTGGGGTCCAGGGATGGGATCTTAGGTGTTAGGGCGAAGGGTTTGGACCTGTGCGCGAACCTTCAAATACCGCAAAAGGCGTGTAAACCCCGATGGCACGAACCCCCCCGAAATTGTCCGCAAAGTCCGAAGTAGTATGCAAAGACACAGAACCCCTAAACCCTAAACCCCTAAACCAAAAAAACTCTAAACCCCCAAACCCTAAACCCTCAAACCCTAAACCCCTAACCCCTAAACCCCTAAACCCCTAAACCCCTAAACCCCTAAACCCCTAAACCCCTAAACCTTAAACCCCTAAACCCAAAACCCCAAAACCCCTAAACCCCTAAACCCCTAAACCCCTAAACCCCTAAACCCCTAACCCCTAACCTCTAAACCCCAAAAAGCAAACCCTTAACCCCTAATCCCCAAACCCCTAATCTAGGACCCAGAGTAGGCCCTTATTCCCTTTTTTGAGGTTTGGGTTCCCTTATAAACCCCTTTAAACCAAAAAGGGCACCCTTTTTAATTCCTAGGTTACTCTTAGGTCTAGTAATTCCCAAAAAGCAAACCCCTAAACCCTAACCCCTAAACCCCTAAACCCTAAACCCCCAAACCCCCAAACCCTAAACCCTAAACCCCTAAACCCCTAAACCCCTAAACCCCAAACCCCGAAACCCCTAAACCTTAAACCCCTAAACCCTAAACCCTCAACCCCTAAACCCCCAAATCCCCAAAACCCCTAAACCCCTAAACCCCCAAAACCCCTAAACCCCTAAGTCCCCAAAAAGCAAACCCCCCTGGAGCCCCCCAGGTCCCAGAACTCCTCTCGGCTCTGGAGTCGGCATCGCACGCCGCCACGCAGGCTTTAGGGTTTGGGGTTTAGGGTTTGAGGGTTTAGGGTTTAGGGTTTGGGGTTTGGGGTTTAGGGTTTAGGGGTTTAGGGGTTTAGGGGTTTAGGGGTTTAGGGGTTAGGGTTTGAGGGTTTAGGGTTTGGGGTTTAGGGTTTAGGAGTTGAGGGCTTAGGGGTTTGGGCTTTAGGGGTTTAGGATTTAGGGTTAAGTATTTGAGGGTTTAGGGCTTCAGGGTTTAGGGCTTAGGAGTTGAGGGCTTAGGGGTGTAGGGTTTGGTATTTTAGGGTTTAGGGGGTTTAGGGTCTAGGCTTTACCTTAACCCGGAACAACCTTTACCCCTTTCAGGGTTCCTTATTATCATTCCTTAAGGGTTTTTTATTATGATCTTTTAGGGTTCCTTATTATGATTTTTAAGGCTTCCTTATTATCATTCCTTAGGGTTTTTTATTATGATTTTTTAAGGGTTCCTTATAATGAATTTTTAGGGTTCCTTATTATGATTTCCTTTTATACGTCCTTAAAACGGAATTCCGGGTGAAGGTAGGGTTGAGGCTTACGCTCTAAGTTGGGTTTCAGGCTTTCGGGCGTAGGGTGTTGGTGTTGGCAGTGGGGTTTTAGGCTTTTAGGGTTTGGGTTTTTGGTGTTTAGGGTATTGGAGTTTCGGGTTTTGGGTTTCGAGTGTAGGCGTTGTCGGCTCCACAGCCCAGGGTATAGCAAGGGTTCTAAAAGGATTCTCCAACAAGTCCCATCATAAGCCATAACATGGGAGGTTCTGACAATTAGGCGTACCCTATGTTAGGGGTACTATATTAGGGTCGCCTATTTTCCGGAAGCCCCCACATAGGTTCCATACTAAGGGTTCTTTGGAAGTCATGCCGAATAGGGATGACGATTCCGTAAACCCAAATCTAGGGGCCTAAATAATTACCAATACAACTTCGGGGTTTCCTTATTATAGTTATAGTATAATGCGCCCGAAAACCCTACTCTAATTATTCAGGCCCCTGTAGTAAACATTAATTGCTCAAGAACAGATTCCTAACTAATGTCGGAGTCTAAACAAATACCATTGTCAAATATTTATACGTCTACATGAGTCAGGCCAGGAGGCTATCGGATAGGGGTGGGGGCAAGAGCTGTGGGCTTTGGTCTTAAGGGTTTAGGGTTTAGGGTTCAAGTGGTTTAAGGTTTAGGGGTTATAGTTTTCTGGGGGTTTGAGAACTTCACGGGGTGTTGTCGGGGGTTCTAGTGGTTTAAGGGATCATGAGTAGAGTCTTCTGCCCAGGAGGCTTGCAGTAGCTTGCACTCTCTCCAGGGATTCCCATCGCATCTTGAGACTTAAATGGCTAGACCCTTTGGGTTTAGGGGGAAATCCCGAATCGAAAGTTCTGACAGAACAAAACCCAACTTAATCCAGTGAAACCGCCGGCCCTTCACATTAGAATAGGGTTTTGGGATAATTACAGTATAAAATAACCCTAAGGAAAAGCGTTGGTGATTATTTGGATTTGCACATTAATTAGCAATCTGTTCCTGCAGGTTTAGGGTTCAGAGTTTGGGGTTTAGTAACCTAGGGTGTGTGGCTTAGGATTCAGAGTTCGGGGGTTCGTTATTTAAGGATTAGGGTTTAGAGCTTCGGGTTTAGTCATCCAATATAGGGCCCTACATGAATACCTATACTATTTTTTGGGGGGTTCCTTTTTTATATCTATAGTATAATAGGCCCTAAAACCCCATTCCAATTATTAAGGCCCCTATAGTAGTTTGATTTAGGTTTCAGATCTTGGGTGTAGGTTCAGGAGTTTGGGTGTAGGGTAGGGGTCGGTTCTAGGGTGAGGCCCTACCCCGCCGAACACTAGGGTGAGGGAAGGGGTCGAGGGTTTGAGTTCTAGGGTGAAGCCTTAAATTTCCCCCCGACAATGACTGAAGTAGGTTGACACCATGTTTTGCTGTTTTGGCTGTCTATCTCAGCCATTTTTGCAAACCGAGGTCTCACGATGCAAGCTTCCGTATTGTTGCTTTCGCTACATGTTATGTGAAGCACAACTCCAGAATACCAATGAATACCAGAGAAATGTTGAAAGCTTCCGCAGTCCCGAAGAAGCTGCAGACCCGTAATCACACGTGCAAGCTGACAAGCTGTGATGCCGAAGCACTCGACCCCAAAGACGCCCCGTCCCCAGGCACCTTAAACCCAATACCTAAACCCTTTCCAAACCCAACAGTAAACGCGTAAACCTTGAACCTCACAAACCTGCCACACTAAATCCCATAAGAGAGTTGAGAGGCACTGAGCGGCGCTAAGACCTTCGCCGGAGCCACGCTGCTGCAGAGACAGCTTCATAAATGTGTTTGGAGTTTACGGTTTTGGGTTTTGGGGCTGACTAAGTAAAATGTAGTATGTTCTGTAAACTTATATGATGGGTTGTTATGATGACTTTTGCAACGGTAGACCTCATCACGAAATACTGCAGGCTATCTTGCATGACATGCTGACACAGGGGCCTGAAAAAATTGCCAACAGTATTCCTAATACTTACCTATGATGGCCCCTACATTGCCAACATACTCTGTGCTCTTCCTTTGCCTTCATCGCGAACCCCTAAATCCTAAACCCTAAACCCCTAAAGCCCTAAAAATCCTAAACCCTAACCCTTACGCCCTGAAGCCCTAAACCCTAAGCCCTAAACCCTAAACCCTAAGGCCCTAAACCCTAAACCCTAAACCCTAAGGCCCTAAAGCCCTGAACCCTGGGACTGAAGCTAGCCGCAGAGCCTACTTAAAGGCCTCTTTAGAGCCCTTAAAGGAACCTCTAACCCTAAACCCCTAAACCCCTTAACCCCTTAACCCCTAAACCCCTTAACCCCGAAACCCCTAAACCCCTAAACCCTAAGCCCCTAAACCTTGAAGCCCTAAACACAAAAAAGACAAAACACCCTAAACCCTAAACCCTGAAGCCCTACTTGGAAGGGCAGGGGACTTAGTAAGTAGGTAATAAGTAGGGTTATCATTGGGGTAACTCCATTTACTGTACTTATAACTCTACTTATAACCTACTTACTAAGTCCCCGGCCCTTCCAAGTAGACCCTAAACCCTAAACCCCATAGACCCCTTTAAGGAACCCTATAGATCCCTTTAAGGAGCCCTTAAATCGCCGCAAGGTAAAGAAACTGGCTGCTCGACGGCTCAGCGAGGGCTCCAAGCAGACTGCTGAGGCCGGACATGCCGGGCTTTTGGAGTTTAGGGTTTAGGGTTTGGGGTGTAGAGTTTGGGGTTTAGAGTTCGGGGTGCAGAGTTTGGGGTGTAGAGTTTGGGGTTTAGAGTTCGGGGTGCAGAGTTTGGGGTTTAGAGTTCGGGGTTTAGAGCTTGGGGTTTAGAGTTTGGGGTTTAGGGTTTAGGGGTTCTTGTTTGGAAGCTAATGTAAGTTACCGGAATAGGGCTTATAGTAAGTAATAGCGTTTCCTTATTGCGGTAACTTAGCCCCTAACAAGATCCCAGGATAGGCTTTCCCGAGTTTCGGAGTTTGGGGGTTTAGGAGATTTAGGATTCGGAGGTTTAGGGTTTAGGGTTCAGGAGTTAGGGCTTAGGTCTTAGGTTTTCGTGTTTCGGATCTAGAGTTGGTGCTGTAATATGTCAAGGACTGAATCATAAAAGGGCTTCCGTTGGGATTCAAGATATATATATATATATATATATATATATATATATATATATTAGAAGCCGCCCCCACACTGTAATAGTCACTATAAGGTTTATATTAGGGCCCTATGATATTCCTATTATACCACTATTACAGGGTGGGGGCAGCTTCTAAGATATATAGGTTCTATAATGGTTCTGCCAGGCCGTCTCAAACGGCTTCATAAGGGTTCTGTCCGGGATGTCTGGGGGTGTCTGTGGCAAAGCATCGGAGTTGAGGGATTTGGCAGTTTAGGTTTGGGTTTTGGGTTAGAATTGTACAAAGCGCTTCCCTAACTGGGGCCTGAATCTTTGTTTGCATCGCGGAGGTGTTCAACATTTTTGGATCGGGTATCTGGTTCTAGCGTGGATTTTGCGACTGGGAGATTTGTGTAGCAACGCTGCCACATGGATTTGTATCAGCATTCTGTGGGTTTCGGGGTCTAGGGCGCAGGATTACAAGGGTCAGCAGCCTAAGGTGAAAGCCTAAACCCCAAACTCGAAACCCTAAACCCGAGAAGACCAAAGCCCTGACCCCTAACCCCTACTAACTCCGAAGCTGTAAGAACCTGGTCAAAACCCGAAATGTTTGTTTTAGGAGCAGCTGAATTCCGTGGTCGGGAAGCTGGACGAGCTTACGAAGACCTTGTCAGAGAGCAAGAGCTCTGGCAGCATTGGGCTGCAAGTTTCAGGGTTTCGGATTTTGATCTTGAGCCCTAAACCCTAAAGCCCCAATCCTAAACCCTAAGCCTGTGCCCCAACCCTGAACCCTAAGCCCTAAACCCTAATCTAGGGCTCTGGAGTTTAAGGTTGATGACCTAAACCTGAAAGCCTAAACCCTAAAACCCCAAGCCCTAAACCCGTTCGTTTGGGAGTCTTTAGGGCTTTGGGGTTTTGCAGCAGATGATCCTCGGGGCGCTCAAAAGGTTCTAACTATCGGGCTTCTTACATCGGGATTAGGGTCTAACTATGGGGCTTCTGCGAGGGTTCTTTACCGATTTTGTTTTACAGTTTCAGGTTTTAGCCTTGAGGGTGTTGGATTTGTTTGGACATGTTTAGGAAAGCTTAGGTACGGCCCCATAGAGTAAGAGTCTATAATAGGGCTACTATTAAGGTCCTACTATATCTATATTATGAATATTATTCAACTATTACTGAGTGGGGGCCGTACCTAAAGGAAAGCGCTTGGGGCTCTATGGTTCTTCAAAGGGGAAAAGGAGGGACCCTTAATGGGGATCCCTACCCTATAATGGGCTATATAATGGGTATATAATAGCTATATTGAGGGTATATACCTAGGGGTCCTTATTAAGGGTCCCTCCTTTCACCCTTGGAGTTCTTGATTTAAGCATGCAGTGTTGAAGGTGCGCTCGGCAGGGGTTTAAGATGACAACAGCCACACCCAGCCAAGCCCACACCTTAGAAGGGGCGCCCACCCTGTAATAGTGGTATAATAGGAATATAATAGGGCCCTAATAAATCCTTATAGTCACTATTACAAGGTGGGGGCAGCTTCTAACCCACACCACTCACAGTCCTGGCGGTATCCGGTTTTCAATTCTGAACCTAGAGGAGCCCTTGACTAAAAACTGGATGCCCTAACACTCTGGCAGCCGTCGCTCCATGCCTATTCCTGTCGCGTTAGCATCTCCAAGATATTGCCTGCTGGTTAAAGGTCCTCAAAGTGCTGCTTGGAGCTGCCCCCTGGAAAAAGGAGCTTAAAAAAAAGGTCCTCAAAGTAACAGGAACATGAGGGTAGGTTTCCATGTAGCAAGAGTTTTTGAACGCACAGAGATCATATCAGCCTCTGTGTATAAGGGACCTCATCTCCGGCTTCAACTTGACTGGATCCAGAACCCAAAATCTTTAAAAACACCCGAAACCCTAAACCCCTACACCCTAAACCCTAAAGCCCCGTTCCCTAAACCCTGCGGTTGCTGTGAAAAGAAGAGCAGCATGATCTCCAGTCACCGAACGCTCTGCCGAGGAAGGCGATGATCCAGCGAAAGCAGGTCGCCTTAGTGAGACTTTGAGAGTGTTCTCAGGGCTGTAGGGCGGAGGATTTAGGTTGTGGTGGTTAAGGGGTTTAAGTTTGTAGGCCTTCGGGTTTAAGGGTTTAGGGGTATAAGGGTTTAGGAGTTTAAGGGTTTAGGGTTGAGGGGTTTAAAGTTTAGGGGTCTTAAGGTTTAGGGTTGAGGCTTCCCTTAGAAGTTTTTCCATAAGGTGTGTCATTAGGCCTTTTGGGGGGCATTAGAGGATTACAGGGGTTTAGTGTGGAGGGTCTCAGGCCTTGAAATGGGTTTAGGGCCACAGGCTTCCGGGGTGTTAGGGGGTGTTAGGGTTTAGGGTTTAGGGTTTAGGGTTTAGGGGTGTAGTATCTTGGACGTTTTAGTGTTTAGGGTTTATTGTGAGGGTTTGGAGGGTTTAAGGTGCTGAGTATGCAGGGCTTAGGGTGTAGGGTTTACCTGAACCCTGCCCGTAACTTACAAGGCTACCTTCTTAGAGTTCCTCACTGTGACTTCCATACTGTGCATGTCCTTAACAGGATGTAAACCCCAAACCCCGAACCGTAAATCTTAAAGCTGAAACCCCAAGCCCCAAACCCCAAACCCCAAAGCCCTAAATCCTCAACCCTCGAGAGTTCAGGGAGGGTCCGCCCTTCCACAGGATTTGGTGAAGAAGGAGATCGAGGGGAAAGTCATGGAGGCCGTCATTCCGCTGAGCTGCCCACGGTTTGGGGTTTAGGGTTTCAGGTTTCGGGTTTACGGTTAGGGCTCTTAGCCCTGAGCCCTACAGAATTGCCCCTCTTCTCCGTCTGAGACTTGGGCTTCCTGGGCACTGGAGCTGCTCTACTACAGTGTAGTACCCAACTCTACACAATGCCCTCTACCATACGCACTATATACTTAATTAAGTTTAATTGCAGTTTACGCTGCGGTCAATCTATACGATTCTCCACTCCATACAACGCTCTCTACCATACTATATACTTAATATTAAGGGCTTGCATTCTTGGCGGTTTGTGATTTCGGGTTGAACCTGTTGGGTTTCGGCTCGCTTCGCGCAGGGCAATAACTATCCGAAGTCCAGGTTCAGACGTGAACGGAGCGCGATGTTTGTACTGTTCTGGCTACCGTGTCTGCAAACCCCGACCTAAACCCTAGACCTTCAGGGCGAGGAGGTGAATGTGATGCTTCCTGCTGTGTAGTTCGGAGTTGAGACACGATATCCGATATCTCGCTGAGTTTGGACATAGCATATTCAGCAATGCAGAATTCTGACAAGGTCAAGTCTTGCTCCTTCATTGAGGCATTGAGCGCCTGTCCGCGATTGGCATATGCGCATCTGAGTGTTATCATTCGCAGGAGAACCTGTGCCTCTTCACGGCTTGTCTGACAGGGGAGACCGGTAGAACATCGCGGAGTGTCAGTGACAAGATGCTCTTGGCCTCTCAATTTGCAACGATTTCGCACAGGGATACTGATTGCGGAAAACAAATTGGGCATGGGCCCTACGCACTTCCAGGAAGTAGGCCCGGAGACCCAACCCAGCACGCCCACTGGTATGATGAACATAGCAGCTTTTGATTTAAGGACGCCTTTGCCTCCTTGGATCCTGGACTACCTGAAGTGTTCGTCTTGTCCGGACTTGAGCTGACGATCCTAGGGAAGGTGCTTCCTTCATGGTGTTCTCTGGGACAAGGCCGTTGAGGCCACAGTCTCGATGCTCTGGGGGCAGAATGTGTTCGCGGAGCCGAACATCGGCAAAGCCCTACCCAGAGACTCCAATATCCATCAATTAAGGAATATTCCTTAAATCATAGTAGGATCCCTAATATGATTTAAGGAATATTCCTTAAATCAGGGATATTGGAGTCTCGGTAAACCCAAACCCTCAACCCTAAACCCTGAGCGAGATCCGACTTCCGATATCCGAAACTCTGAATCCTAAATCCTAAACCCGAAACTCTAAACCCTAAGCCCTAAATCCGAAATCCTAAACCCTGGACCCAAAACTCAATTCTAAATCCGAAATCCTATTTAAACTCTAAACCCGAAACTCAAGCCTAGTTCCGAAATCCGAAACTCCAATCCCGAAACCCAACCCTAAATCCGAGATCCGAAATTCTAAACCCCAAGCCCTAAATCCGAAATTCTAAACCCTAAGCCCTAAATTCGAAATCCGAAACTCTAAACCCGAAGCCCTAAATCCGAGATCAGAAACTCTAAACTCGAAGCCCTAAATCCCAAATCCTAAGCCCTGAACCCTAAAACCCTAAACCCTAAGCTCCTCAACTTTATAGTACCTTTATAGAAATATAGGTCCCTAAACCCTGAGCTCCTAAACTCTACAGAACCCTGAAGCCTAAACACTGAGCGGGAGCAGGTGGAGCGGCTCGTGAAGATCGCCGAGGAGGCGACCGAAAAGGCTCAGATGCACGAGCTCCTTGGCGTTTTGGGGTGTAGGGTTCCGTGAAGGTTAAGGGGTTTAGGGCGTTCTGAAGGTTTACAGTAGAAGTCAGAAAGTTGGAACATCAAAATCTTCATGCCCTTAAGGTAAAGTATAAGGGATCCTAGCATTAATCCTCTTAAAGCCATGTTCCTCAAGGGTCCAGAGGGCTCAATAACGAGGTGCTTTTTTGGGAGGGTTGGTTTAGGGGTTCTGAAGGTTTAGGTTGTAGGGTTTTAGCTTGAGGGTTTTAGGCTTGAGGCATTCGGATTTTGGATTCAGAATTTCGGTGGAGTGCTCAGGTTTTAGGAGGTGTAGAGTTTACCCTAAACCCTAAACCCTAAACCCTAAACCCTAAACCCTAAACCCTAAACCCCTAAACCCTAAACCCTAAACCCCTAAACCCTAAACCCTTAAACCCTAAACCCTAAACCCTAAACCCTTAAACCGTTTAGGCTTCAGGCTTTGGGCGTATGGGCCTGGTTCTAGCTTTCATTGCTGTGGTCTTCGGGTTCCAGGGCCAACTGGGTTTCAGCTTTCAGGTGATACGGTTGATGGTATAAATCCTAAGGGTTCCTTTAAAGGGATCTATAAGGGTACCTTTAAGGGATCTATAGGGTTTAGGGTTTAGGGTGAAGATATACATCCTGCATGACCTTAAGGACCCTAAACTATGGGAAATATGGTATATTCCTTACCATGGGTAATGCAGGATTTATATCATCAACCGTACTGCTTCAAAGTCTCGCAACGCGACAAAGGCAACAGCAAGCTCAAACCCTTGTCCTAAAGTTGCGTGGGGCCTGAACTGGGGGGTCCTCGTTGCATTTTTACGTAGTATAATATAACCCAAATCCCTGCTGTAATTATGAAGGCCCCTATATTAGGTGCTGATTCACGGACGGGTGGTGTTTGACCTCTGGAGGCAACGACTTGATTCTACGTGCACAACTACCCTCATCCTCAAGACCGAAGCCAAGAGTCTCCTTAGGAGTTGTGTTCAGAGGTTTAGGGTTTAGGGTTTAGGGTTCAGGGTTTAGGGTTTAGGGTTTAGGGTTCTCGCCTTAATGCTCGAGATGACAGTAAATGATGGATCTCATTGTGTAGATGATCTTTCTGTTTCATCACGCTTCGAGTGACAGGAGTCACAGGAAGCATACGTAAGACAGGGGGGTAGAAGCTGCGAGACTCAAGTCCAAGGCAAGCCTAAACTCTAAACCCATAAACCCTACACCCCTAAACCTAAAACCCTAAGCCCTAAACTCCTAAACCCTAAAGCCCTAAACCCTAAATCCGAAACCCCTAAAGCCCTAAACCAAACCCCTAAACCCTACACGCCTAAACCTAAACTCCTAAACCCTAAAGCCCAAGGCAAGCCGACAAGCAGAAGGAGGGTGAGGAGGCTGCAGGCGAGGCCACCGAGGCTGACAAGAAGACCGAAGGCCATGCTGAGTGCAAGGGTCTCACTGTTCTTGTGAAGCATTTGTCACAGTATCCTAAGCTGTCTTGATTTTTTTTATCGTTTGTGCATATAAATGAAGATAAAGCCGAGAAGAATATTCAAAATGTGGTTCTACGGGGGTATAGTGCAGGTTTTCATGAAGTAGCCACCATATTGTCAAAATGGCAAGCTTTCACTATCAAGACTAACTTGCATGACTTTGCTCAACAAGAGCCCATGAAACCCTAAAGCGAGTAAGCCCAATCACCGACAGTCCTTAAGGTGTGCGGTTTAGGGTTTGAGCCTGAGGGTGTCGGGGTCTCAAAAGTTAGGATGAAGGTAGGTGGGATATTTTTCAAACGTCTAAGCCATTTACAGGTGGGTAGTTTTAAGGTGGGTAGTCTCCCATAAGCCTTCCATACCACTCCTATAAGGTAAAGGGGTCTTATGGGAGTACTATGGAAGAGGAACTACCCACCTGTAATGGGCTTCTAACATGAGCCCTTGTAATAAGGGATGCTTAATCCCACCTACTTGGAGGATCATTGGACTTAGTAAGTAGGGTTATAAGTACATTAATTGGGCTGATAAGTAGTTATAAGTATAGTTACCCTAATTATAACCCTAGTTACTAAGTCCCATGATCCTTTAAGTACAACCACTAACACTTGAGATCCCTTCTTCAGATCCCTGTTAAAGGAGGGGGTACCTTCATCCCACCTTGTGAGGCCTCTGAGGGTGCTCTGGGCCATTTGGGTCACCGAGCTTCCAAAGCCCGCAACTCTAAAGGCCCTACTACAGAGGGGCTGTTTTAGTTACCTGTAGGGTTTAGGGTTTAGGGTTTAGGGTTTAGGGTTTAGGGTTTTGGGTTTAGGGTTTAGGGTTTTGGGTTTAGGGTTTAGGGTTTAGGGTTTAGGGTTCAGCAGCTCTGACTTTGAACATTTCATGTCAGGCTATTTCTAGTCAAGCTATCTTCTAGAAGAAACCCCACCCGCCCACAGAATCCCATTACATTAGATTTAAGAGTTTTATTTCTTTTGGCTTGAATCTTTAAAAGATCACTTACATACAACTATTACAGATCGTAACTTTTCACTCTTTCGATCAAGCAGGTGCTGTTTCTTTACAGTCGTTCTCGCCACACGCTTCACTTTAAGAAATTATTTCTGCCGACCAGCTTTCTAAGAGAGCTAGTTAAGAAACACAACATCGCCCTAACCCGCGGAAGCTGCGGTCACGCCATCGCTTTACGATAGCAACCATAGCTGTCAAGTGTCATGACTTGAATCTCCTCACCTAGAACAGCTATCGAATTCGATTTCATGTCTTTCAATGTTTCCACATCGGACTGTGTCCACTGCCTGACAACATTGCCTCCAACAGTTGAAGCTGCGGTCACGCCATCGCTTGACGATAGCAAGCTCAGCTGTCAAGTTTCTTTGCGATGACCTTCCAGCTCAAACCCTTCATCAAGAAGGCTGCCTTGAGACGGATGACCCATAGTCTTCCAAAGGCAAAAATCCCAGGACAGTTATCTGAGACGGATGACCCATAGTCTTCCCCAGGCAAAAATCCCAGGACAGTTATCTGAGACGGATGACCCATAGTCTTCCCAAGGCAAAAATCCCAGGACAGTATCTGAGACGGATGACCCATAGTCTTCCCAAGGCAAAAATCCCAGGACAGTTATCTGAGACGGATGACCCATAGTCTTCCCAAGGCAAAAATCCCAGGACAGTTATCTGAGACGGATGACCCATGGTCTTCCCAAGGCAAAAATCCCAGGACAGTTATCTGAGACGGATGACCCATAGTCTTCCCAAGGCAAAAATCCCAGGACAGTTATCTGAGACGGATGACCCATAGTCTTCCCAAGGCAAAAATCCCAGGACAGTTATCTGAGACGGATGACCCATGGTCTTCCCAAGGCAAAAATCCCAGGACAGTTATCTGAGACGGATGACCCATGGTCTTCCCAAGGCAAAAATCCCAGGACAGTTATCTGAGACGGATGACCCATAGTCTTCCCAAGGCAAAAATCCCAGGACAGTTATCTGAGACGGATGACCCATAGTCTTCCCAAGGCAAAAATCCCAGGACAGTTATCTGAGACGGATGACCCATAGTCTTCCCAAGGCAAAAATCCCAGGACAGTTATCTGAGACGGATGACCCATAGTCTTCCCAAGGCAAAAATCCCAGGACAGTTATCTGAGACGGATGACCCATAGTCTTCCCAAGGCAAAAATCCCAGGACAGTTATCTGAGACGGATGACCCATAGTCTTCCCAAGGCAAAAATCCCAGGACAGTTATCTGAGACGGATGACCCATGGTCTTCCCAAGGCAAAAATCCCAGGACAGTTATCTGAGACGGATGACCCATAGTCTTCCCAAGGCAAAAATCCCAGGACAGTTATCTGAGACGGAAGACTGTCTTGCCGTGCCTGTGCTTCAGTGCATGTCTTCACGCAGCTTGTCTCGCAACCTGTTCGCAGCTGTGCATCCTCCAGCCTATCCCCACCCCACCCTTGTACAACTTTCTCATGCTACAGGTATTGACAATCCCCACCCCACCCTTGTACAACTTGATCATGCAACACGCAATGAATCACGCCACCGTCGACCAACGTTCAAGCCTCAACCCTAGGCCTAACCCCTAATGCCCACATCGGCCCAAGCCCAAACGCTAGGCCTAGGCCCTAAACCCTAGTGCCCAAACCCTAGTGCCCAAACCCTAGGCCCTAAACCCTAGTGCCCAAACCCTAGGCCCTAAACCCTAGTGCCCAAACCCTAGGCCCTAAACCCTAGTGCCCAAACCCTAGGCCCTAAACCCTAGTGCCCAAACCCTAGCCCTAAACCCTAGTGCCCAAACCCTAGGCCCTAAACCCTAGTGCCCAAACCCTAGGCCCTAAACCCTAGTGCCCAAACCCTAGGCCCTAAACCCTAGTGCCCAAACCCTAGGCCCTAAACCCTAGTGCCCCAAACCCTAGGCCCTAAACCCTAGTGCCCAAACCCTAGCCCTAAACCCTAGGCCCAAACCCTAGGCCCTAAACCCTAGTGCCCAAACCCTAGGCCCTAAACCCTAGGGCCCAAACCCTAGGCCCTAAACCCTAGGGGGACGTCAACCGCCACGAGTTTTGATCAAGAGCCACGAGTTTTGATCAAGAGCCACGAGTTTTGATCAAGAGCCACGAGTTTTAATCAAGAGCCACGAGTTTTGATCAAGAGCCACGAGTTTTGATCAAGAGCCACGAGTTTTGATCAAGAGCCACGAGTTTGGATCAAGAGCCACGAGTTTTGATCAAGAGCCACGAGTTTTGATCAAGAGCCACGAGTTTTGATCAAGAGCCACGAGTTTTGATCAAGAGCCACGAGTTTTGATCAAGAGCCACGAGAGATCAAGAGCCACGAAGTCATTAGGGTTTAAATTACTATAGGTAGAGAGGTTTAGGGTTTAGGGTTTAGGGTTTAGGGTTTAGGGTTTAGGGTTTAGGGTTTAGGGTTTAGGGTTCAGGGTTTAGGGTTTAGGGTTTTGGGTTTAGGGTTTTGGGTTTTGGGTTTTGTGTTTTGGGTTTAGGGTTTTGGGTTTAGGGTTTTGGGTTTTTGGGGGCTTCCTTATTAATTATAATTCTAGTATGATGGGCCCCAAACCCTATTCCAATTATCAAGACCTCTATATTACTCGCCACTAGCCAGAGACTCCAATATCCTTAGTTAAAGAGTATTATTCCGAATATTCATGAAACCATATGACAGACCCTAGCATAATTGAAGGTGTACTCCTTAATTATAAGGGATATTGGAGTCCCTGGGTAGCCACTATACTATATACGTCCGAGGCCATGAAACCTGAAATTGTTCTTCATACTCCTTGTGGTTTCCCTCACGCTGAATAATTACAAGTCTTATTGTTTTGATAGCTTTTGTTGGTCGTGTTGCGGGTGGTGCCAGCGATGGGGGGTTTAGGGTTCAGGCGATATTAATACTTATTTGCAGAGGGTTCTGGGGTATAGTATAATACAGTAAAGTTATTGTTATAGTAAGGAACGTTAATTCAGGAATAATATAGCTTGCTAGCTGCTTGATCCTTACGCCCCAAATCTAAGACTTCTTAGGCGTCTATGGCTTTTTATAGGGTGGCATGGGGTATCACGGGATCAAAAACTCATTCTACGGTTTGTGCTTTGGCGTTTAGGGGAACCAACACCCTAAACCCTAAAGCCGACCACCCAAGATCCTGAAGCCCCCAATGCTGCGCAGGCACCGCTGCGGTTCCTGCAGACGAGATGAAGGCTGCCTGCGAGAAGGCTGGGTTTGGGGTTCATGGATTTGGGTTTGGGCAGGCCTGTTCGAGACACTGCTGATCAAGAACAGATTGACTGTGGCATTACGAATACTGCTGGGGTTTCGGGTGCAGCGACAAGCAGGAGCAAAGTTATGCTGATGGCAAAGGTCGGTCTAGCCAGAACACTACCACTAAACCCCAAACCCTAAACTACGCCATGATATCGACCTTTCACTGCGGCAGGCTGGGGCAGCCCAAGCAGAAGCACGAACCAGCCACTGGGCAGCAGCTAGCGGCGGTTTTAGCATTTTGTCTGGTCGCATGAAGGTTTTGCAGTTTTGGTTTACACCACTTCATGCGTGCTTTAAGGCTTTATAAGGATTATATGGTTTGTATCCGCTTACTTGGAAGGGCAGGGGACTTAGTAAGTAGGTTATAAGTAGAGTTATAAGTACCCTAAATGGAGTTACCCCAATTATAACCCTACTTATAATCTACTTACTAAGTCCCCTGCCCCTCCAAATAGAGGATCAAGGCTTGCAATCATCGCCAGGTCATGCCATCCGAAGCTGTTTAGGGACTCAATCCTGGACTTCGCCGCCCTGGACCCGCAATCCTAAGCTGAAGACCCTATACCTTCAATCCTACACTTCGGTCCTATACCCCAATCCTAAACCATAGGAATTGAAACCTCTAAACCCTATACGCTCGATCCCAAACCCTAAACCCTAAACCCCTACATACACCCTACACCCTAAACCCTAAACACCCTACACCCTAAACCCTCAACACCCTACACCCTAAACCCTCAACACCCTAAACCATAAACCCTAAACCCTATACTCTCGATCCCAAAGCAGGAACCCCAGACCTGCAACTACACGCCGAGGCCCGGAAACCCCCCAAAACCCTTAAATACGTTAAACTCCAAACTCCCTAAACTCGAGATCCCTAATGTAGGAACCTGAGTAAGAAACCTTGGGCCTTTATTAGGGCTCCTTATTTGAATCCTACTATTTTGGTGTTATGGGCCCAGGGTTTCTTAATCAGGTTCCTACATGAAACCCTAAACCCTCACCCCTGAAACCCCTTAAGAACATATTTTAAGGGGTTTGGGGCTTAGGGTTTAGGGTTTAGGGACCCTAAACCCTAAACCCTGACCCCTTAAACCCCTGAAGAACCCTAAACCCTAACCCCTTAAGCCCTTAAGCCCCTGGAGAACCCTCAATCCTCGGGGCAGTCCCAGGTTTGACCGCCGCACAAAAGCTGCTGCTCTCCAGGCTTATCAACGGTTGAGGGTTTAGGGGTTTAGGGTTTAGGGTTTAGGGTTAGGATTTAGGGGGTAAAGTTTGGAGTTTAGGGTTTAAAAACTGTTAAAGTTTTCGGTTCCCATAATCCTTAAGAAACACCTAGAATTGTGCTCTTTTCTAGAGGTTTAAGTTCAGTACAGATAAGAGGGCTTAGACGGTGGTTTAGGGGTTTAGGGTTATTATTCCCCATGGCTCCTTATCATAGTGATACTATAATATACCCTGGAACCCTAGTCGAAGTATTCAGTCCTCTATATTACATAGTCCTATTTGAAGGTTTAGGGTTTCAGGTTTAGGGAATATGCCTGAAACCAAGGGTTACACGAAGGGTCCAAAGGACGCAGTGATGAACTACTTGGGTTTAGGGTGGTGGTTATGAAGCATAGTGTTTCGGAGAGAAAGTATATTATTATGAAACCCTAAATCCTAAACCCTGATGACGGACTCGGACCCTTGGGGTTAATTAGCTTGAACCCATGGACTTGATGGTCGTCCAAGCGGGATCAGGTGGAATTAGTCCGGATTAGGGTTGACGGTTTAGGGTTTAGGGTTTAGAGTCACAGGTACTTTGCCTGTTCTCACGCTTCGCAAATTCTGCATCTACGAGCCTCTGCATAAAATAGGCCTTGATGCTTAGATTAGGGTGTTGCGGTTCATTATACTACTGCAGTGTTAATCAGGAGCCCGCAAGAAGAATAAGGATTACTGATTATTCATGCTTCTTTTGTGGGAATGTAGGAGGTTTTTGACAGGTTAAGAGTGCAGGGCTGACTGCATGGGGAGTATTCCCTAAACCGTAAAGCCTAAACCTTATCCGTCCCTTTTTCCAAAGCCCGGAAACCCTCAACTGATCCCTAATCCGTGAGCCTAAAACCCCGAAGCCCTAACCACAAACTTAAGCCCGAAACCCCTGAAGCCCAAAGCCCTAAGCCCCAATCCCTAAGCTCGGAGATCGGGAGGGGCCTTCAGGCTTCCTTTTCGGGTTCCCTTCAAGGAGACCGGTTTGTTGTTGTCGGTGCCTTTGACCCTCAAGAACCTGAAGACCCACCGGGAGCTGCTCGACGCAAAAGGGCACACGGCCAACGAGCTGGCAGCAGCTTTCAAGCTCCTCCCGTCCGGGGAGCAGCAACAGCTGTGGAAGCGGTTCGAGAAGAGCAGGAAGGAAACAGCAGGCACTGAAAGTGCCGCAGTTCGGTGCACGGCGCGCTGGCTGTCGATGACTGAACTTGCTGGACTCTTCAACAGAGCCTGTGATTCAAAGGTCAATGTGCTAAAACAAATCCCCACTGATTTGCACATTCAATTTGCCTGCTGTTGTTCTTCGATTGAACCAGCAGCAAACGTGAGGCCGTCGTATGGTGTGCACGGCTGGAAGCATTGGCCACGGCACGCGAGGCTAACGTCCTGAGACAAGGAAGCACCTTGAACAACCGCGCCGTGGGTTTAGAGGGTTTAGGGTTCCTTGAGCTACTGTCCCCTTAGGAATTAATGTTTCATCTTTATCCCTAAACCCTAAACCCTAAACCGTCATTGAAAAACCCAGGAGACTGTTAAACATGTTAGTTTCACTATGCTTCTAAAGGGGTATAGTGACTGGGGATAGGGGTTTGCGGGTTTTTTAAGGGTTCGTTGAGGTTCAGGGTTTATCGGGGATCATCTTTCGCTCTCAGAGAGTTGAGAACTTAACATCCTAGAGAGTTTAAGGGTTTAGGGGTAATACTCCTAAGTTAAAGTATGTGTGGGGTTTTCTAGGGTGTTTATAGGTGTTCATGAGCCCTTCATTGAGGAAGAACTATACCTCAGGTTATAAGGGGCTTACTAATGGAACTTAAGGCTAGTGTCGGTATGTTCCTCCACGAAGGGGTGTTGGGGGCTCTCTGGAGTTCTAGACTTTGCCACTGGGCGCTCTGATTTCGTTGGTCGTAGGGCTTCCTGGCTAAGCCGTAAGCCCAACCCTACTCAGAGTTTGGGTTTGAGGTTGAGGGTTTACGATAGGCCCTAGACAGTGCCGCCAAGACTTGATACGTGTCACCCTTCGCTTCCCAAGCCGCCTGACCCCGTCCGGCAAAACTGCCATCAAAGGCCCAAGACCCACTGCTCCGTAAAAGCTCATCCATGGTCCCGAAATGCTAGCGGTCACCCTCCCATTCTCTCAAGTTCTTCACATACTTTGCAAGGAATCGTTCCTTCTGTCTGTGGGTGAAGAGAAGATAAACTTGAAGAGTGTGAATGTGTGAAGAGATTGGGGACCAGCAAGAAACATCTTTATGTGCCGCAGTTGCAAATGCTCTTCACTCTTTCACATACCTGCACGGTATCGTTCTTTCTGCTTGTGGGCGACGAGAACGATAATTTTGAAGAGTGTGAATGTGTGAAGAGAGTGGAAACCCAGGATATAAAGAAACCCTAAAGCCCTAAACCCTAAACCCTTGAATCGGAACTGCATGTGTGCTGCCAGGCAGAAGGAGGCGAAAGGCGGCAGCGCGCCGCCTTCCTCGTCAGAGGAGCCACATCACTAAACCCGGGATTACTTTTGTCATTTTGGGGTGACAAAATTCCTTTTTGGGGGTACTTGAACTGATATGGAGTAGACATTTGATTGTTGAATACTATCCCAGACCATGATCTAGTTACGGTACTCCGACTCCAAGCCTTAAGTGCTGGGCCCTATGAACAATACCCTTGTGCGATCTCCCCTCCCTAAACCCTATGCCCTTATAGAATCCCTACAGATCCCTTTAAAGGAGCCCTAAACCCTAAAGGTACTTGTGCGATCTCCCCTTACGGATACTTTGTGGAACCTCTTTCCGCACCAGGAGATCAGCAGACAGCTCGAAAAGATCACCGAACTCCAGGGCAAGCTGGACAAGCACAAAGCCTCCTTGAAAGACCAGGTGCGGGTAGGGTTTGGGGTTTTGTAGGGTTTAGGGTTTAGGGTTCCCCACATGGGCGGCTTGTAAGCTGGCTTATACTTACAGGTAGAGCAAGGTTGTAAGTTTGCCGAACCTCGCTGCTGCCGTTGCATTTGTTTGTTCCTCCAAGTAAGCACCGAATCTTCAAGCCGCATGTTTTTCTGCTTGGGGTTGAGGGTTTAATGTTTCAGGGTTTTCCGCAACGCGCGGTGCAGGTCCACTGGTACATCCAGAATGCAATTTGCTGACAGGTGTCAGCATTTGGGCTTACCTGTAGGCTCCTACCCTACGCCTTTCGGAGGATCTTATGTTTATGGCTGGGATCTGTTGTATAGGAAAGTAGAAACCCTAGAAGAAGGGGTAGAGTATGAGGCTACAGGCAGGGCACTACGGTTGATGATATAAATCCTGCATTACCTTCAGGACCCTAAACTATGGGAATTATGGCATATTCCTTATTATGGGTAATGCAGGATTTATATCATCAACCGTAAGACCGGGGGGGCCCCTTGGAACTAATTTGGTGTCTGGGTCGCGCTCGAGAGCCCGAACTGAAAAATGTCCCCGTTGAACTCGAACGCGCAAGCCTGCGGAAGATCACGCGTGATTTAAGGTTTATCATGGCTTATCTAGAGAATCGAAGACTTTGTCTTGAGGCTTAAGGGCCCTGTATTGGGACCGCATGAGGCTCTTGTGCAAAACGCAACCAGGCTAGAGAATCCCTAGGTAGGGCATGCATGAACGGAGTCCTGGTGTCCTCAGGAGCACCGCTATGTTGCCCAGAGACTGCAGAAAGATGCCTCAGCGCAGTCACTTGGCTTGTGCTTAGTTTAAGAGACGCTCTTTATGATTAGTTATGGTGTGAAGGTGATAGGGGTTTAGGGAAGGTCTCTATAAAAATCATTCACACATACATATACTAAGACATATCCATAAATAAATATAAGTATAAATTCAAATATGAATACAAATATATGTGTATATATATATACACACACACATATTTCTACACATTTATGCATAGATATACACACACACACAGGTACATGTTATGTGTACACATATCGCGTGCATATGTTCCTGTTGTCTACATGCCCGTATGTTTGAACATATATATATATATGTTTGTCCACGTATATGTAGAAAGAGAGAGACAGAGAGAGAGAGAGAGAGAGAGAGATATATATATATATATATGTATATACAATACAGCGAGAGGCCTTACACGACACGAGCAGTCGGCTCGAGAGCCTATGGATACGAAGGCTTGAGAAGCTGGAGCAGCAACTGGCCAAGACCTCTGAGAAGGCAGCGCCGCTGACGTCAGAGGAGCCTTCGGTTCAGGGTTTGAGGGTTTAGGGTTTAGGGTTTAGGGGTTCAGGGTTTAGGCTTTGGTGTTTAGGGTTTAGGGTTTAGGGCTAAGGGTTTAGGGTTACGTCAGAAGAGCCTTCGGTTTAGGGCTTGAGGTTACCTAGGATGCCCAGTAGTACCCTTATTCCCCTTCTGTAGTCCAAGGTTCCTTATAGAGTTACCCAATACCAAAAAGTGAGCCCTTTTTATTCCTAGTTTCCTGGGCATCCTAGTTACTAGTTTCAAGCTGTTTGGCTCTCAGTTTGGCTCTCAGTCTGTTTTCTTAACGGTCGAGTCTGGGGCTTAGGCAGTGATGACCCCGTGTCCCCGTGGTGGGGTGTCATGGTGTTGAGTTTGGGGGGTGGGGTTTTCCGGGTTCATAGGTCTGTGCCTGAAACCGTGACACACTACACCCATATAGAACCCCGAATGGATCCCTTACAGAAACCTCATAGAGCCACCACCCAAACCCTAAGCCCTCAACCAAGCCGCATGGCGTCGCAGGACAATGGCATGACCGGCGTGGTCTTCCTGTCTCACGCAGTAGACAGCCTGCACCTTGCCTGGAGCTGTTGCTCTTTTGTTGCGGGAGGAGCAGTGTTTGTACTCTCTGTGGCATTGGTCAGGATAGGAGGGGTGGCAACCTGAAACCAGGATGATGCCGTACAGGTACAAGGCTCTTTCATAGCCGCCCGCCCGGAACACTTACCTTATGAACCTGTTCCACCACAGGTTCATGCCGGTGAAGAACGCTTTCATATGCTTGATTGGTAGCACCAGCACATGCCACGAAGCTTGCATCCTGGGCATTCATTATCAACATTGCCGAATGAAAAAGCGCTAGCGCCTCAACTGAATCCGAATCTTGGAGTGTAGACCTTACCTGTATCCCCAAACCTTACAACATAGCATGTCATGACCCCGTAATTATAGGGTTTAACCCCTAAAGCAGGAGGTTTTTGGATCCCCAGGTAAACCCTTTAACAACCAAAACCCTAAACCCTAAACCCTAAACCCTAAACCCTTTAACCCAACTCCCTGTCCTGAACCTGAGGTCTGAAGGAGCCTACATCCTTGACAGAGCTAGGGTTGATGGTATAAATCCTAAGGGTTCCTTTAAAGGGATCTATAAGGGTACCTTTAAGGGATTCTATAGGGTTTAGGGTTTAGGGTGATGATATAAATCCTGCATTACCTTAAGGACTCTAAACTATGGGAATTAGGGTATATTCCTTATTATGGGTAATGCAGGATTTATATATCATCAACCGTCGGGTTGGGCCTTCTGAACCCCGCAATCCCAAGCCAAGAAGAAAAACAAGTTCAGAGACTAGAAAGCTAGGCGACAGCTGATGAAGAAGTCTTCGAAGACTCCCAAGGACCGAGCCCATTGTTGGAGTGTGCCGATGCGTTTACACAATACATAATCACATACGCACATATGCACACACTGGCACACGTATACATCTTCATCGTATATATCCACATATACACATGTGTACAAGTACAGAGCCCCATGCAACGATTACCATGGCGGTTGAGATGGGCCATGCGTTACAAGGCTTTGGGTTTATTCTTGGCGTTAGGGAGCCAAAACCCTCAACCCCAACCCTAAACTCTAAACCCTAACCATTGACACCTGGCGCCTTACATCCTGCAGCCCTGAAGAATGTGGATATCGGAATAATGTTTCCTTTCGGTTTACTAGCCCCTTCCCTTTGACGTCCTTAATCTTGGGGTCCTGATTCTGAACTAGTAGATTAGGATTTTGGTCTTGAGTTTTGGGGTCCCTGTGTTACCAGAAGCATTTAGGGGCCTAGGGGTTTAGCGGTTTGGGGTTTAGGGATTTAACTTAAACTAACTGTTTAGGGGTTTAGGGGTTTAGGGGTTTAGGCTTGAGGGCTCAGGGGTTTAGGAGTTGAGGGTTTAGGGGTTAGGATTTTGTCATCCTTTGTGAGGAGCTGTTTGCAGACGCTGCCGGCAGCAAAGGCCACTTGAGCGAGGCCGCCGCAAGGGGGGTGGTCTTGTAATTACAGGAGCTGCAATTCGGGTCTAGGGCTAATTTTAGGAGCTACATTTTGGGTCCAGGGCTTTTAGGTTTCGGGATTAAGCCTAAACCCTAAACCCTAAACCCCCAAACCCGGCAACCCCAAAACCCTAGAACCCGAAAGGGAGGACCCTTAAAGGACACCTTATAGGGACCTGTAAAGGAACCCCCTTTTGGGGAAGTCCCCAGAGCCCTAAAAGCACAGCCTATCTTCGAGGCGGCTTTCCTGGCCAAGCTCAAGGAGATCGAGGTTCCCGCTTTTTTGCTTTTTTTTTGCTGTGTGGGAGGATTAGACTTAGATGGTTTAAGGATGGTCAGGGGGATGTTAAAAGCGTTTAGAGGGTTTAGGGTTTAGGGTTTAGGATTTAGGGTTTAGGGTTTAGGGTTTAGGGGATGTTTAGGGTTTTTGTTGTTTCGCTTTGCCAAAACTTAGGCACCCCAAGCTCTAAACCCACCCCGGAACTCTGGGCAACCCCAAGCCCCAAAAGCCAAAACCACCCTGAAGCCCTACTTGGAAGGGCAGGGGACGTAGTAAGTGGGTTATAAGTAGAGTTATAGGTACCCTAAATGGAGCTACCCCAATTATAACCCTACTTATAACCTACTTACTAAGTAGGGTAAGCCTGTCAAGCCTTCAGCCTCAAGCTGAAAGCCCACCGGGGCCGCCGGAAGGAATCCGATCCACAGGCGATGACCCTCTCTGAGGAGTGCGGGTCCGGATTTAGGGGTTTGGGTTTAGGGTCCAGGGATGACATTCCGGGTTAAGGGTTTAGGGTTTAGGGTTTAGGGTAAACCCAGAACCCCTAAATCCGAAACCCCTACACCCCCCAAAACCTAAACCCTAAACCCTAATACTAATGGGATCGAAACTCGAAGGTGAGACCTAAGGGATCCGTAGGACTTGCAGCCCGGAGCCTGAACCCCGAAGCCTGTAAACCCTGAAAGCGCTAAACTCTGGGCTCTTGTTAAGGAACTTATTTTAAGTTACCATAATAGGGATCTATCGTAAATAATAGGGTTTCCTTTTCTTGTTAAGGAACTTAATTTAAGTTACCATAATAGGGATCTATCGTAAATAATAGGGTTTCCTTATTATGGTAGCTTAAATGAAGTTCCTTAACAAGAACCCAGTGAAAGCGCTAAACTTGTGCACAGCCTGCCTTGCGCCTCCACAGCCTTACATCTGGAATCTGACTGTTTGAGATATGGGTCGGATTCATTAGTGATATGAGATTTTTTTCGAAAACTGGGGCACCTCATTCTGGGGTCCCTGCAATAAGGATCGATCGTTCTAGGGTGCAATATTATGGTCCCCTATTTTGGAAACTCCCTAACCCCCTAGACCCCTCAACCCTAAGCCTCTACACTTTCCCTACACCCTTCACCCTAAACCCTTAGTAATACTATATCCCCTCTGTCTCTTTTAGTTGTGCTTACGTCCGACCGAGTCGCGGGTAGAGCTTTGTAGTCCCTATTCCGTGGAAGCCCAAAACTTGGAAACCCAGTAGCCTCATTCTCAGAGTCATGTCGGGGGAATCCCAGCATTAGTTTGCGTTAATCCGGTTTCCAACTTGATGGGTTTACTGTATAGTTGTACTGGCGGTTTAAGGTTTAGTGCATAGGGTAGCTATGCGACATAATCTACAAAACCCTATTCAGATCATCAAGGCTCCAACATTGCCGCGATTGATCTCGGATGACCAAACTTGTATGTGTACTAGGGGCTTGGTAAGTATAGTAAATGTTACTTACCCTAAACCCTAAACCTGGACCCTGAACCCTAAACAGCAAACCCTTATGCCTAAACCCTAAACCATCCTCAACCCTAAGGGGGTGGTTCTGAGGTTCAATCTAAGCAAGGGCTGTTTCCAACTAAGCATGCTAAGTTAGGCTTAGGGTTGAGGGTTTAGGGTGTAGGGTTTCGGGTTTATGGTTGAGGGTTTAGGATTTAGGGGTTTAGGGTTTAGGGTTTAGGGTTTAGGATTTAGTTTAGGGTTCAGGGTTTAGGATTCAGGGGTTTAGGGTCATTGTGTCATTCTCGGGAATTATTAAGACCAATTCAGCGATCCCTTGGAGGAACAGCTGAAGGCAGCCTTTGGCCGTTTAGCCAATGGCAAGGACCGGGGAACGTCGCCGGGAATTCGTGGGAGGCGTTTGGGTCTTGGGTCTAGGGCTATTCTAGGACCCAGAGTGTGCCCTTATTCCCTTTTTAAGGGTTCAGGTTCCCTTATAACTCCCTTTAGACCAAAAAGGGCACCCTTTTTATTCCTAGGCTACTCTTCGGTCTAGTATTAACGCTTGGAGAAAGCTTGGTGGAGTTTATAGGGCTTATGGTTTAGGGATCAGGGTCTAGAGTCTACGTGGAAGGGCAGGGGACTTAGTAAGTAGGTTATAAGTAGAGTTATAAGTACCCTAAATGGAGTTACCCCAATTATAACCCTACTTATAACCTACTTACTAAGTCCCCTGCCCTTCCAAGTAGGGTGCAGGGTTTAAGGTTACCTCGACCCCAAGAAACATCACCCACAAAAGCCGTCAGAACCCTCGAGCCTCAAACTCTACGGTTCAAGTGGCAGCTATCGCGATGCCGAAAGTGGTGTGCTTGATGACCTAAACCCTATACGCCCTAAACCCAACCTTAAGCCCTAAACCCTAAACCCTATTTTCTGCTAAGTGTCAGTGTTCAAACCGTTCCGAAACACTCTCTGCGCTTTAAGTCCCAAGGCCTTAGCCTGATGCCCGCAGCCCTCAATGTTTGTGAACCTGCTAGGCGCTTATGGAACCGTAAAGCCTAAACCCCAAACCCTAAACCCCCAAACCCTGAACGTGAAACCCGAACGCTAACCCCAAGTTCTGTAGGAAGACGGCGTCGACGAGACTCGCTTCCTGGACGAGTTCCGGGAACGATCCTGGGCTCCGGGTTTAGAATAGGGTTCAGGGTTGATTGGATTTTTTAATATGGGTTTAGGGTTTAGGGTTTAGGATTTAGGGGTTTAGGGTTCATGGAGGCGATAATAGGGCCCCAAAAAAGCACATAAGCAAAAATTAGGATAGGGATATCCCATATACATCCCCTTATAATGAAGCCCAATAAGGTAGGGATATCCCCATAAGATGCTTATGCTTATGTGTTTTTGGGTCCCTAAGATAACGAGGCGTACGATTTTCATGAAGGCTTAGGGGTACTTAGATTTTTTTAATTTTTGGTTAGTCTAATCCCTAAGAAACAGCTAAAAATTTTCATTGTTGCTAGGGTTCTAAGTTCAGTATAGAAGGGGTTCAGCCCTCTCAGCTCAGGATATCTCTGCAGCGCACCCGTGACGATGACTGACGGTCTGGCGACTTGCTTTGTTTTTAATGGTTTAGGGTTTAGGGTTTTGGTTTAGGGTTTAGGGTTTTGGTTTAAGGTTTACACGTAGGGTTTTGGTTTGGGGTTTTTTAGGGTTTAGGTTGTGGGATGTGTGTTTTGGTTTTTAATGGTTTAGGAGGCCCCTTAAATCACATTAAGGATCCGACTATAGTTTAAGGTATTAGGGCTTAGGGTTTTGGTTTAGGGTTTAGGTTGTGGGATGTGTGTTTTGTTTTTTAGGGTTAATGCTGTTTTGGGTTTGGGGTTGAATTGGAGCTTGCCTTTCGGGTCTGTCTTTATCAAAGAGGCATAGCAAGGAAGTAAAGAGGACTGATTAAGAAACCCTGGGCCTTTGTTAGGGTTCTTAATGTGGATCCAAAGCCCGCCCCTTTTTAGGGTTCAGGTTCCCTTATAAGCCCCCTCAAACCAAAAAGGGCACCCTTTCTATTCCTAGGTTACTCTTTGCAGTTTAACAGAGCAGCAGTTTGGATTCGGGGTTAGGGCCTGGGCTCATGGATGTACTCGTGAAGGATTTTCGGGTTTCCCGATCGCATGTTCAGACTTAAAGGTTGGAGTGTTCAGATGGAGTGTTCGGACGGGTACACCCTTGAGGCCCTTCAGCCCTAAACCCTAAACCCTAAACCCCTAAACCCTAAACCCCTAAACCCTAAACCCCTAGACCCCAAACCCCTAAACCCCAAACCCTAAACCCTAGCCAAAACGGACAGGCCAAAAGCCCTTCTCAAGCCAAGGTCATCAAAGGAGGCAAGACCATCCGAAAAGTGGATGTCAACGAAGTCCTAGAACAGCTGGAGGAGCCCACCCAGGACCACTGGGTCTGCACGACTTGAGGTTTAGGGCAGAGAGATCTTGCATGGAATGGAAGAGAGCAGTCTCTTGTTCTTCATGCAGCTACCTGACAGCACTGCCAGCACAATATAGGGGTTTAAGTGATTACCAACACTACTGTGGGGTTCCGGATTGTAATTATTGTTTAACATCCCCCAAACCCTATTCTATTTATCAAGGCCCATATGGGAGTTTCCGAATTAGGGGTAACTTGTTTGGGGTCCTTATAATAAGGATCCTACCATTTAGGGTGTGATATTTGGGTCCCCTAATTTTCGGACGCTCCCATATGTCATCCCTACGGCCGGCAACCTGATTGAAGCCTTGTCGGGGTTGAGAGCTCGAACCTCGGAGACGGGTAGCAGTACTTGGAGGGGCAGGGGACTTAGTAATTAGGTTATAAGTAGAGTTATAAGTACCCTAAATGGAGTTACCCCAATTATAACCCTACTTATAACCTACTTACTAAGTCCCCTGCCCTTCCAAGTAGACGGAGGAGCATCAGCATCATCAGCAGCAGTGGTAGTAGAATTAGCAGACATATAGAGTCGCCAATGCGCAGACGATGTTGATAATGATGGTGATGATGATGCTCATGGCTGATGAAGAGGATGATGGTGAGGATGAGGATGGTGACGGTTATCAATCCAAGAACGTGCCTGTGACAGGAAGAGTCTTTGGGCTTGATCAGAGTCAAAGTCAAAGCTGAGAAGGACGAATCGGCTGGTGGGTCACCACATAATAGCCTCAATAATTACTAATACTATTTTGGGGGTTCCTTATTATAAGTATAGATGGACCTCAAAACCCTAGTCTAATTCAACTTGCGTTTAGATCTTGCTTGGAGGGTCGGGGGACTTAGTAACTGGTTATTTTAGGGACTTATAGGTACCATAGCCCCAATTAGGGTCCCTTTTAGGGTACTTATAAGTCTACTTACTACCTACTTACTAAGTCTAACCCTAAACCCGATACTACCCTTATAGAGCCCTTTAAAGGAACCCTTAGAATCCCCTTTAAAGGAGCCCCCCCGACCCTCCAAGTGGACTTAGGGTTCATGGCATGGGGCCCTTCTTGGAAGGGCAGGGGACTTAGTAAGTAGGTTATAAGTAGGGTTATAATTGGGGTAGCTCCATTTAGGGTACCTATAACTCTACTTATAACCTACTTACTAAGTCCCCTGCCCTTCCAAGTCGAGTTTAAGGTTTACGGGCCAAGGATTTGGGGCCATGGGGTTTAGGGGTGTTGGGCTAGGCTTTGGAGTTTAAGTTGTGGGGTTAGGGTTCAAGGTGGGTGGGCCCCAATCCTTAACTAGCCCATACTACGACTACTACGTGTAGGTTTCCCTGAACCCAACGTCCCAAAGCCCATGCTCGCTCGAGGTTTCTCCATGGGGAACTTTGTGAGTTTACTCAGGTTGATTGTGCCCTAAACTAAACCCTAAACCCTAAGCCCCGCCTTTCTCTCGTTATCTCTCTGTTCATGATGATCCGAGAGACCCCGGACCTGGGAGGGTTCTGGATGAAAGTCTGGAATTTGCAGGCTTAAGATCGTTGACGGATAAGAGCCAAGGGTTGGACCGGATATACAAGGGTTCGTTCGGGCTCGGCACCCTGCACCTCAAACCCTCAACCCTGAACCCTCACCCGAAACCTGACAACCCGAGAGCTCACCTTTAAACTCCAAAACTTTCCCCTGCATGCGGACCTGCAGACTTCGCGCCTCAGTACAGTTCGGGGTTTAGGGGCGAAGGGTGTGGGACTCTCGCCTGGGTGTTTCGGAGTTTAGGAGTTTAGGGTTTAGGGTTTAAGGTTTAGTTTAGGGTTGAGGGTTTGTTCGCATATGTTTTATGATGTTATGTGTGCGGCATTTGGCTTTAGCTATTCGTTGTGCTTGTTAGCGAATGTTGATTCCATGTCACGTCATATCAGTTTTGACAAGGCCTTTCACCAAGGTCTTTGAAGCCTTTTGAAGGCCGATGCGTTTCTTCACAAGCATGACACAGCATAACACTACTTTCCTTGAAGGCACGGCTGCTCGCCGAGCTGAAGCTCGCCTAGGTCGCCTACCTGAGGTTTGTTGATCAAAGACCTGGGTTCTGGACCCAGAGACTCCAATATCCCTTAATGAAGGAATATTCTTTAAATCATATTAGGGATCCTGCTATAATTTAAGGAATATTCCTTAATTAAGGGATATTGGAGTCTCTGGGGACCCATCGCACCTGCTGCTGCCGCTGGAGCTGGGCCCATGCGAGCCGGTTCGGATTTTGGTGAGCCGGGACTTCCACCACGCATTACTCAGACCCCGGGAGCATCCAAAAAAGTAGATCCTTTAATGGGGGTTCCTATAAAGTTCCCTTAGAAGTATAGGGCCCCAAATCAGGGCATCTACTTTCTAGATCCTCCCGGAACTCTGGGTAGATCTCAGCTGGGAAGACACCGCACCAGAAAAGGCCGAATCGTGGTGCAATAATATGGGAGTTTCCGAGCATAGGGGACCTTAATGTAGTACCCTAAATGGTAGGATCCTTATTATAAGGACCCCAATATAAGGTACAAGTACCCCTAACTTTCGGAAACTCCCATAGCCATGTAGTTCAAAAAGCAACCAGAGAAACCCTGCACAGATACAACGATGGAGACGATGCACAGAGTGTCTAACTCGAGCTTTACCATGCGCTTTTGGTAGGTATACAGACCTTACGATTCCAACGGCCCAAAGTAGGCTGGCAAGGAAAGCAGCTTTGCAGGCACGTTCTGGTTTAGGGGCTTTTGAGGGTTCTGGGGTTTAGGATTTCAGGTTGATGGTTTTATACCCGACCTTTGCAAGAGCTAGACACTAGAAGCATGGACTTGGGGAACTATGCAACTAAAGAGTACTTTCTAAGAACGGGTACACGCACCCAAAGGGGTCTGGGTAGGTATACACAGTGTAATACAAGGATCACAGCAGCGATAAGTTTGCTTTGTGAAAAGCGGCATGGGAATCCTCATCTCCATATCTGGAGGTCAGAAGTGGCCACGACAGTGGTAAGTGTGGGAACATCATTATCAATCCCGGCCTCAACCGCACCCATCATCGTTATCACCGCTCATGACACCATCACCCTGAACGCCCCCAAACTCACACTCTAGATCCTGAAGTCTTGCACCTCAAATCCCACCCTCTCTGGAGGATGAGAAGGAGGGCTTTGTGACGGTGGCCGGAAATCAGGGCAGCCCGTCTCAGGATTTTGTGTAGGTTTCAGGATTGTGCTTTCGGGGTTTAGGGTCTAGGGCTTGGAGTTTAGGGTCCTAGATTCAACCCTAAACCCTAAACCCGCTGCCCTAGAGTACGGAGGTAAGTAAGTGTCCGGGTACACCAAGGTAAATCCTGCATCTTGAACAACCCAAGCATGAGTCCATAGACATGCTATATTAGGTTTATCATACAAGCCGACGAAAGGCGCCAGTTGCTTATATGTTAGAAGCTGCCCCCACCCTGTAATAGTGGTATAATAGGAATACAATAGGGCCCTAATATAATAGTAATATATTTATGGTCACTATTACAGGGTGGGAGCAGCTTCTAAGTTATATGGTCTAATTCAAGATAGGCAAAACGTAGAGGGTTTAGGGTTTAGGGGTTCCAGGGTTTAGGGTTTAGGGTAGACAGTACTCATGATGGTTTAGTTTTTGGGATGCAGTAACTCGCATTTGGGCTGCGCTCCGGGGGCTCTTTAAGGGTTCTTTGGGGGTCCTTTGGAAGTGGGTTCCTTCTAAGGCGTTAAAGTTCCTTTAAGGGTCCTTTTGTGCCGTTTAAGGCTTCGTGTAAGGGTTCTCTTCAGGGATTGAGGGGTCCCCTGTGGCCCGAACCTTGACCTCCCAACCTCGCAAACTAGCCGATCAAACACCAATCGTCGAGGTGTTGAAGGGGAGGGGCTCAGGGCCTCCATGCAGAAGTACAGGCCGTATTTAGAAGTGGCCGCGCCGGCAGTGGTGGACACATTCTTCTACACGGGGGAACGCAGCAAGGGGGAAGCCTATGCCAAGTACATAGCAAACAAAGAGGTGCTCCGACAGGACCTCGAAAGCCACCTCAACAAGGCGTTGAACGACAACGCACGGGCTCAGGGTTCCGATCCATCCTCGTCCCAAACCATGTTGGCCTTAAGCTTAAATGCCGATCAACCTCGGCCATTGTAGCTTGCATTTCTTTGTTTTCATGGCATCTTCCTGGCTCTACTAAGGCTGAACTGTCCATATATTACAACCCCAATAAACCGCTAGAAGCTGCATGAAACGCTTGTAACACCCATTGAAATTAAGGCCACAAGAACAACCCAGAAAGCCATTGTAACACCCATTGAATCTACTAAGGTTCCCCATGCTAAACACCCGAAATCCTCGGCCAAAATACAGAAGTCCAGAGGACCTGAAGCAAACCGAGTTGAACCGGAAGTCCTGTTGAAGTCCGAAACTTAAGATTTAGGGTTTAGAGTTTAAGGTGTATGGTTTCGGGGTTAGAGTGTAGGGTTTGGGGTTTAGAGTTTGGGGTTTGGGGTTTGGGTTCAGAGTTGTTAGTTTGGGGTAAACAACTTTGATCCCTGAGGGACTCTGACCCCGACTGGCCCCAAACCCGGCGACGCCTACATGCATAAATGAGGGTCGGAAAACCTAGCAATAGCACTCTTAGGGTTTATAAATATACATGTGTATGTATGTATGTGTGTGCGTTTATTTAGTTATAGTACAACCTGCCAAAAAACCCGATGCTAATTATCCTAGCCTTTTTCTTGGTCTCAGGCACCGTGTACCTGGAGCCTTACACCGCTTATGTGGCCTTCCAAAAGAGCGCGGGGCCCCAGTCGTTAAGGCTCTGAAGCTCGTAGCAGTTATGTAGGGTTTAGGTCTTAGGGTTTATAATAGTACTTAAAACCATTATAGTGGCAGTATTGATAGCAAAGATATTACGAGTGATATCAGTTTAATGAAACCAACCTTGATTCTCAAAGGTTGAGGGTTTGGGTTCACGTCTAGTTGTAAGCGTATAGCGTTTTCGGGCTTTTGAGGTTTCAGAGTTTGCCCCGCCCCTTTTGTGGAGCTCAGGGTTGTGGGTTTAAACTTGTAACACCTGACGCGAAGGCTTAAAGCCTGAAGCCCCAAAGCCCTCAGAAGTCAAAGCCCTAAGCCCCAGGCCTTAAACCCTAAACCCTGTAGCCTAAGCCCTTGAACAAACAAAACCCAAAAGCCTTGAATCGAAAACCGAAAACCCTGTAGCCTGAGCCTGTGAAGAAAAAAGCCCAACTCAGCTCCGAAACAAAGAAACCTTCAGCCCTGTGCATGAAAACCCTGAACGCTTCGGGTTTAGGTTTAGGATTTGGTGTTTGGGATTTAGGGCTTTAGGTGTAGGGTTTGGGGTTTAGGGTTTGGGGTTTAGGGTTTGGGGATTGAGGGCTTTTCGGTTTCCGGTAGGGTTTGGTGTTTGGGGTTTAGGGCTTAGCGTGGGCTGCGAACGGACTGCGATGCCTTGTCAAGTTCTAAGGTGTCACTATAAGAGCTGTGAGCAAGACCGTGTAAAGTGCAGGAGAAGGGGGCACGCTACGCGTCCCTCGACTCTAGGGGGCATGCTACGCATCCCTCGTCTTTACCTTTCTATGTGACCGCCAACGCAACGTTTGGCTCAAGTCAATGCCCATAGCTAAGTGCTATATGTGTCTTCTATCCTGAGCAATCAGAGCTATCCCGTTGCACAGACGAACCGCCGCCGGCAGTGAGTGCAAAAGGAACGGCCGCCGGTTCTGCCTGCATAGGATCGCACGTGTGGGAGTACGAGAGAGAGACAGGGTCCAGTTTGTGGAGAGTGCTAGCCAGCCACACCTACATTCATTACAGCTCTGGTGGGGAGAGCAGCAACCAAGTCGAGATCAATCCCCCACGCAGGTTATCAGCCGTACGCGGCTCTGCCTTTCTACAGCAACGACTACTTGATCTACTACGACCACAATGAACTCAGGATCAAGCCAAGATACGACAATGACTTTCGGTGCCGATGTGGCAGCGCCAGCCGTTGGTGAGTCAACAGCTGATGACACAGTGGTGCAATCCGTTGATAGCTCCACGGAAGATGACAAAGGTCAATCTTCTGCGCTTGCCATTGCAAAGGCAGTTCCCAAGGGGAAAGCAAAGAGTCTACCAAGAGCATCTACGCCTTCACGTCCGACATCCACAGGTTCGAGGACGGGCAAGGCTTCAGAACGACGGGCCGAAGCGTCTGGTTTTCAGGCACCTCGGACTACGTCCAGGGCTAAGGACAAAGGAGTCAAGACCTTGGAGAAGAAGTCAAGACCATCATCTTCGAGAAGCTCTTCGGCACGATCGAGGACTTCGGCTACCCGTGGGCGTGACAAGTCCATGACTTGGAATCGGATGGTTACCAATCAACCACGCGATTCTGATGATCTGGACATGACTCTGGATACGATTCCTGCACGTGGTGATGCATCATCCGTGGCCACGCCTGCAATAGCTGACGGTCCGAATGCCTACCAGGAGCTGACGATTTCGCAACAGTTCGAAGCGTCGAACCTTGCACAGCAAATGTACTATCGCAGTCAGGTGCAAGAGTACGAAGGAATCGTGCAGACCCTGATGGACAAGATCAAGGAGATGCAACAAGAAGATGAAGGATCGGGAATTCGCATTGAAGAATTGGAACGACAACGTGATCATGCTTGTTTAGCCATGAGGCACATCAACAATGTCAATCAGGAGATGAAGCGAGACTATGAAACAGCTTTGTTTCGCATGGATGAACAGAACTCTGCTCAACAACGTCAAGCACATGCCGTTGCCGAGGATTTAGCTCAACAGCTACACGTGTTCCGCACGGAGGCAGCCACCAACTTTGTGCAGTTGGAGGCAAGAGCGCAAGGTGATGGTGAGCTTATGGCACGTGAGTATGAGCGTCTGACTCATGAACTTCATGAACACGCCAGAGAGAACTTGGTCCTCCGGTCAAACACAGCAAGTTCGGAACAAGCCTTACAAGCAATGCAGGAACGATTCCACTTGGTCAAGAACCAGGAGTTGCGGGCCGTGAACGAGATCCAAGGGCTAGCTGGAAACAGCGCAGCCATTGAACAAGAACGATTTCGGCTTCGTGAACGTCTTGGTGAAGAGGAAGAGTACCGCAGAATGGCTGTGAAGAGGATGCAAGAAGCAGAGGAACGACTTCATCAGAATGAAGATCATGCAAGGCGATCATTGCCTACCTTGCACGACGAGCTGAGTGAACTCAGGAAAACGCTCAAAGCGCAAGAAGATCTTCAAGCGAGGACACGCAGCGAATTGGAGGCAGCGCGAAACTCTACTCAAAGGGAAGCGACGCGACCTTCGAGCATGCCCATGTCTTCGAGGACTACTGAGTCTGGCTGGGAGCACGTAGGAAAGGATGTAATGCCTGCATTTTCCGTAGGAGATGAGGTACGATCCCCTGAAATACGGTCCCCAAGTCAAGTTAGTCCAGTCGCCAAAGAGAAGTTCGCATTCTCGGAATCGGACAAGGACAAGAACCTTGTGATGGACGGAATTCCATTCACCGGTGGAAACTTCTTCACTGGCCGCAGTTCAATGCCAATCGTGGCGGATGCAATGCCCGAGCACCACGTGCCAGGTATTAGCAGCCCAGCGCTTGCGCGTTCCACGCCTAGTGCAGCCACTTTGTTTGGCATACCAAGCGGATTTCATGGGAAAAGTGATGCGGCAGCCGTGCGTGATCGACAGCTACGCGAACTCTTGGGGGATCGCGGGATGTTGGGATCGAAGTCCACAGCATCGGCCAGCTCCTCAAGACCTGTTGGCATCGACGGCGTCACCGCATCCACTAAGGGCAACGACCTCATTGGTTCCCCTGTCACCTTTAACGATTCCATCCATGAGGCAAGGAGGCGTCAGATCGAGAAAGAGATCGCGGAACAGTACGAGGAGAAGATTGCTGATCTGCGTAGTGAAGTACTCAAGGCTCAGAAAGCCGAACAACGTCTCAGAGCTGATCGTGATGAGTGGAGATTATTCGCTGAAACGATTCAAGAAAACAATGGAGACGATGACGGTGACGAAGCTGGCGACGAGAATGGAGAGGAAGAGCATGATGAAGGTACCGGTACGGGGTATGATCCTCCGGATCCGCCTGACGATGATGATGACAAGAAGAAAGGTGGAGGGGGCAAACCCGAATCGGATCCTGGTTCGCATGCGCGTGATCCTGATGGAGATGCGGATCCCGAAGTTACAGAGGTGAGAATTTCCAGGAGGGAAGCCGACAAAGTGACCGTTCCTCCATGGCCTACTCTTACTCATCTCAACAACTGGCGATCTGTGTGCACGGCAAATGTCTTAGGGGCATCAGCCGACCCACATCATGAGGACTGGATGTTATGGCTGGCACCAGCGTTCAACCCATTCCCTGATGTCGAAGCATTGAATGATTCAGGACACAAGAAGTTCAAGAGCATCGACGTCAAGTTGGGGATCGCCATGGTAGCAATGCTACGTGCCGGTGGTGACAAATCAGCTGACCTGTACCTCGAGGTGAACCGGAAGGCCAACGATTACATCAGCAGGCCTGACGTGAAGATCATCAAAGGACGACAAGTCATCGCGATGATGTACGAAAGTTTTCGAACGCATGATCGTCTTGACATGATCATCACTCTTGAGTATTTGGTGAAGCTCCAGTACCAAGGCGACAACAAGCTTCATACGTTCAAGCAGACGTGGTTGGAAGTTCTGGGACGGATGAGACCAGAGGACATTCCATCCAAAACAGCTCTCCGTGATTGCTTGTACAGCAAGATCAAGGACTCGCCCGCAATGAAAATGGACTTGGGCATGCACTATGAACACCTGCCCTACAATCATGAAGATCGATCGTACGACAACCTGATGAAGATCATTGATCGTACCATCATGCGGAAACGAGAACAGTCAAATCTCACTCAGACTCAAATTGGCTTGCGCCAGATGCTTGAGGGCAAGGATTTGCTGGCTGCACCGGCCAAGGTACCTGAGAAACCTACGCCTACCGCAGCTCCATCCGCAAAGGTCAAGGCTTCGCCGACCAAGCCGGACAAAGCAACACCTGTACTACCTCAAAGCAAAGCGAAGAGTCATGCGAAGACCAAGCCGAAGCCCAAGAAGAAGACGAGGAGTGAGTCAGCGGACAACAGAGGTGACAAAAGCAAGAAGCAAATCCGCTGCAAGTTCCATTTCACAGATGCAGGGTGTCGAAATGGCGATAAGTGTCCATTCAGTCACTCGAAGAAGACTCCAGAACGACCCTTCACGCCGAGGACGAGAACTCCAAGTCCATCTGGAGGAGGAGGAAACAGGATTTGCTACTCGTTCAAGAACACAGGCTCGTGCTCAAGAGAGAATTGTCCTTTCAAGCATGAGGCAGCAGCTACCCCAGCTCCGGAACCAAAGGCAAAAGCTAAAGCCAAATCCGAAGCGAAGGCAGCTCCAGCGAAGCCGAATGCCAAGGCCAAGGCACTTCCCTGCAGCACCCGCCATCAGATTGTGTCGAAGGTGGAATCCATCAGCTCCGGCTATATGGAAGCGATCTTCAAAACAAGATGAGGAGGAGTCAGATTGTCCATCCGTTGACAGCGACGCTGATTCGGATTGTTCAACAGATGACGAATCCTCGGGAACGACTACGTCGACCCGAAAAGTGACAAAGCGCAATGTGACATTTGCCAATGACGTGAAGTTCATTTCTTCGTGTCCTAGACGATCGAAGAAAGACAAAGAGCGGAAGGTGAAGTACGTCGACATGGAAGCGTTTGTCAATG